GTACATGTTGTCTGAAAGATTCTTCTTTCCACCCTACATTTGTTCGTCGTGGTGTCAGGAATGATTCACTGACCACCAAACAGATTTTTTCTCTTTCTAGCTTCCTTTTTTCTACGCGTAACGGATCGACATGCGCCAATGCAACATCAACAATCGCCGCACTCTTCTGCTGCGCAACCATGCGGCTCAAGATTCCGGGATTATGTTGTCATGGTTTAACGGCAATGCTTACAAGCATGCATGATACAATATGATTAATGCCGCAGCAAACCTTTTCGCGACGCAATTGCTATCTCATTTTGACGAACTAACAAACAGCACATTATTCTGCTTACACTCATCAAAGGTTAGTCTTGATCAATTTTTACACTTACACTTTCCCCCACGCTTCACTATGATGAAACACATACCACATTCGCAGTTTTCACTCGAGTCCTCGCCTTAGAACCTAAATAGAGGACAGATGAGGGTATATCTTCCTTGGATGTCTGATCAAAGCAATCAATCTATCATTTTATCACCGCAATATTTTGATGAACCCAAAGCTAACATTGCTTCAAAGACAGGACTCTTCTACACTTTATTGCATCGATTGGAACATTGGCACAGCCCTTGTATATATAGAATACACGAAATAATATAATGTTTATCAGCAATACAATCCGTTTCAATGTGCTCACCATGGCGCATACGCGCATCCTTTACCCTCTGCATCTTATAACACTTCCCAAACACTCTGGCCCTTACCCCCTTTCCCATCGTGGATCGGTTCAACCTGTGGTATAGGCCTATTTTTGGAGGAAGAAGATTGATTTTTCGTCCGATTACTCACCGAGGTATCTTGAATCCTTTCGGGGGTTGTGGATATTTTGGTCCATATCTTTTGGCCGACATACTTTGTTGCTCAGCGCAACTGTTAATAATTGCCATCAATCGCGACCTTCAATAATAAAAATACATAATCTCTGAACCACAACTCTCACTCTGAACTTGCCGTGACCAATTATGTGATGCACCTTGATTGAAAATTCCCTGCGATATAGATTGCTAACTCACCTTTCCATCCTCACCGTCCTCTACCACCAGAACTCGTGTGATGATTCAATTCGGCATTATAAAGTTAGCCCGTATGCTCTATGAACAATGGCGCTGTCATATGATCAAACATTGTCGTACACATCACCACTCTTAATCGAATTTTGCGAACCATAAAATGCGTCCAGGGATGTCGATTTCACTCTGGCCATAATTCCTCTCAGTTGAACTTCACATGAATATACGTATCTCCCCTACATAAGATTTTACTGAGCACAATATAAAGGAAAGGGACGCATTTTGAATACCCCAAAGAGTAGCTCTTCGATTTGTTTTTTGTCTTTATGCTCGCCCCCTATGAAACTGTAACTTCTCATCCATGTGAATGCAGATAGGAATCCAAATCTCCGCTTAAACCAATGCACCTCTTCCTCCAACTCTCAACAATGCAATCTTTTGCTCAGGACTAATTTTCACTTCCGGTAACTTCTTTCCCTTGCCCTCCTCCGGCAAACTCAAGAATCCAATGCCTGCCAAATAAGCAAGATAATTGCCCATGATGTTCTCGTCCAAATAACCACCTGCGCTTAAATCCTCACCCGTGAATTCTGCATCTGCTTTAAGTGACGCAGCGGCATTGACATCATCCATCTCTGGAGCAATGGTGTCAGCTGGAAGATCCGATGTAGCGAAATGGTAAAGAGGCATAAGTGCATGTTGTTCCTTCTCTGGATTGGTGTTTGCGGCGTATTCAACGAGTTTTTGACTCCAGACTGCATATTCGACTTCAGGGGCCTTATAACCATATGTTTCAAGTGTGGATAAGTATTGAGAGAATGTTAGTCTAGGATGACTTGTGACCTGGGCGACACCAAGTGGTGTTTTAGCCGGGTGAAGGGCGCAAGCTATAACGACGCGCGCGACGTGGTTGACAGGGACTTGATTAACTGTGTTGGAGATACGTGGACGGCAGGCGAGCTGAATACAACCTTTCGCCATACGGATTAGGAAGTCATCCGTGTTGGTTACGCCGGAGGTCTTATCACCAGTAATATAACCTGGTCGAACAACTGTGCCGCGGAGACCGCGGGAGCCGGCTGTGCGGACGAGATATTCGGCTACCCATTTTGATTGACCATAGCCTGTTCCGAGACCCTTTGCTGAACCGGAAAGATCGTCTTCTTCGGAGACAGCGACACCGGATCTTGATTGTTGGACGAAGTGGTCTGTGTCAAGGACAGAGGTAGATGAGACGAAGGAGAGACGTTTGGGAATACCAGTTGCGCAAAGGGAAAGAATGTCGAGAGTTCCCTTCACGTTTGCAGGCTTGAGATTTTGATATGGGTAGACCCAATGGACTTGGGCTCCATTATGAATGATAACATTTGCGGTCTCGGAGACAGTCTTCCAGTCTTCCGGGGAGAGACCTAGTTGGGGCTCCCCGAGGTTACCGACGACGCAGGAGATACGTGATGCCCAAGAAGGATCCCAAACTCCGTAGGCTTGGCAAGTTTGAATGACACGATCGAGAGCTGCCTTAGAATCAAGTGCTCGCACGTGAGCAATAACTTTGATAGGCTGAGAGCGGGAGAGGAGATCGCGCATCAGATAGGAACCGAGGAAACCAGTAGCGCCTGTAAGGAAGACGGTAAGAGGTGTGGTTGAAGTGATCTTCTCATCTGCTGAGGGGAATTTTGATGGGAGGGTTTTGGCAAGGGCATGAGCGTCTCCTTCATAATCCTCTGCAACTTCTACTTCTTCCTTCACATCGCCATCAGATGATGATCTACGTGCGATTTCTGCGGCGAATCCTTTCAATGTTGGGTTTCGGAATATGACGCTCATGTTGATGTTAATACCGGTCCACTTTTTATTGACCTTGAAGAGCATTTGTTGCGCCAAGATACTGTGGCCTCCAATATCGAAGAATGAATCATCAGGATTGATTGTTCTTTCATCGATAGTAGGAATCAATGATCCCCAGATGGCTGCAACCTCTTTCTCACTATCTGAAAGCTCGGAATATGCACCAACAGGTCTTGCTGCCTGTAATTGTGCAGCATCTGGAAATGGAAGCGCAGGCTTATCCTTTTTTCCATTTGGATTAAGAGGAAACTTCTCCAAAGGAATGATAACTTCTGGAATGGCGTAGGATGGCAGTTTAGTCTTGAGATACTTCTTGATATCTTCACCGAGAGGCCAAAATCTTCGAAGTCTTCCTTGGATTCCTTCACCACCGGAAGTATCATCCTCGAGACCTAATTGCTCTAACCATTGCGCCCACTTTTGCATATCAGGTACGATATAGCTGACAAGTGTTTGTTCTTCATCCTTATTTCTTCTGACCAATGTGACATTATCCATAACCATGACATGATCTGAGAGGTATTTGTCGATTTCACCAAGTTCGATTCTGAAGCCACGAATCTTGACCTGATCATCTGCACGACCAACACATTCTACGTCGCCAGTTTGAGTATATCGGCCCAAATCACCTGATCGATACATTCGATCTCTTGGACCCTTATAAAATTCTCTCCAAGGTTCTTCAGATAAGGATTTTGCGTTCTTTGCATCTTCCTCGGCCCACTTGGAGTTATCAACAAACCAACTGTCGACAAATTTGGCCTTGTTGAGTTCATCACTTCCAAGATAACCTTCAGCAAGTCCAGCAGCTCGAACGTAAATCTCGCCAATCTCTCCAATTTCACAGATGCGGTTTCGATTTTCGCGATCAACGATGAGTAATTGCACGTCCTTCATTCCCTTGCCAGCTGGAATCACATTTCCCATATTCTCTAAATATTGTGGATCCGAAGCTCGACTTGGGATCTCGTAGTAACTGACTGCACGCTGCGTTTCAGTTGTTCCGTACATGTTCACAATGAACACATTTGGTGCCAATTTCTGAAGTGCCTTACAATCTCTCTTGATCAGAATATCTCCGACGAAAAAGGAGTGATGAAGAGCGGGAAATTCAGCGCTAGCCCCACCCACTAAAATTTGACCCATTGCGGGTGTCAAATGAGTAACGGTGGCACCGTGCTCTCTCATCCATTCAGCCAATCTTTCATGTTGAATATCATCCTTGGATGGAACCAGTAATTGAGCACCAAGGAAGAGAGGTGTGAAGATATCTCTTTGAATAGGATCATGAGCAATTCCACTTAACATTGTGAACTTGTCATTCTTGGACAAGCCAAATCTCTCAGCCATCCAGTCAAAGTAATATGCAAGAGAGTAATGTCTTCCTCGAACGCCCTTGGGACGACCTTCCGAGCCGGAGGTGAATGACAAAGTTGGGGTAGAATCGGGTCCAACAACAACACCAGGACTCTTAGCCTTCAAAGATTGTTGGCCTTGGAAGGCATCCTTCCCTTGATCATCTCCACCGACCAAAGTTCCATCGTCCTTCAACTCGAGACCGGGGATGTAGGTCTTTAAATCCAGATTTTCGGCGATGAAATTGCGTACTTTCTCCGTCAACTCTCCGGCTTCTCTGGTAGCTTTGTCGATAACAACCAAAGCTCTTGGTCTTGCGACATCAAGGTAGATGTTTTGGCGATCAGGAGGATATGAAGGGTCAATAACTGAGAATATAGCACCGGCTTTCAAGATACCCATGACAGTGACAACCAAGTCCACACCACGGTAACTATATGACATGACGACTTCATTTCGTTGAACTCCGCTCTCCACCAAATGATGAGCTAGGATATTTGAAGCTTCGTTGATTTGTCGGTAGGTGAATTCTCTCCTTGGGGAAGTAGCCGAGGAAGTTTCCACAACACAAAGTCTATCAGGATGAGCTTCAGCGTTTGCAGTGAAGATATCTTGAATAGCACCACGGAAAGCAGACCAATGAAGGTCTGATGTTGGATCTGGCAATTCGAAGTTTGTTGATGCCATGTTTGTTAGGTTTTCTGGAATGGTGGGGTTTGGAGGGGTAAAAGTTGCGCAAGATTTTAAACAATGCTTGAACTGTTTAGATATGAGAAGGATTTCAACTACCTACGTCAAATCAAAACAGGCTCCAAGTACCGTTTATATGCGTTTCTATCCTCGAACTTTGTATGGTTGAATCAACGTATTCTTGGGGGAGTTGAATCAGTCGTTGAGAGGTTTCCGTGATACTGTTGGGAGTATGAATCACTGGCAAGTTTTGAGAGAAAATCAATCGATGTATCCGGAAAGTGACAGGATGTGTTTGGGGGGGTGAATTGGGAAGTGGCTTGAGAGAAAAGAGAGAAGAAGAATGGGGAAGAAGGATAGAGATCTCTAAAGATCTTCTTCGGCTTTTATACAAAATTCGATTGTATGGAGAAAAGAATTGGGAGTCACACATACATGCATCCATCAATTTTCTGCCACTGCTCCAACACCGAAAAGTTCAGCCGAAGATCAACCCGCATTTTTCACTTCCCAATATGCCAAGTGCAGAAATCTAATTCCGTCATCGGACCATCACGTGGTCATCGTCAATACGTATTGCGCACCTTTCACCCCTGCCATTGAGATCTTCAAAGGAATGGAGAAAGGAGAAAGGAGAAAAGTTAATCCATCCCTTCGCTGTCCCGATAGAGCCAATCAAATGAGACGCGACCCTTGATTTCTGTGGGGGTACATGTTCCACTTTAATTATTGGTCGGTGGCTCAAAATAGACTTGGACTTGGAACCAAGACACATTATTCTTCTCCTATCTAAAATCATTCGAATGTCAAACATCTCCATTCTCGATTCCCGACAACTTTAATACTTTATTTCAATTTCTGTCCTTTCTCCACACTGTCTTCTTTCTTAACTTCTAACATCCGCAAACTTCACTCCCTTGGCAGGTGAATCTGTCCCAGCTAAGACTTTCCTCCCAAGAAAGTCTAGGATTTGAAGAAAGTCCTTCATTGTACGTACTTGCGTTTGATACCCAGTCGGTATACGTCAGCTCACATAGAAGACAACTTTCATCAATCTTTTCGAGTCCAGACTTATCATTCGATTTTTCAATGCGGTCCTAGAAAGCATTGGTCTTCTTATTTAATAGATAATCTTTTTGTCTCTATTCTCTTTTTCATAATGCCTGTTCAACGAACCTTCTTTGGGACACCCATACCTCATGTCCCTCCTCGTCGCATGGCCGTTCTTCTCGGCACCATTGCAGTTTTCGCTGTTATTACACTAGTATTTACTCTGCCCAACTCGATACCATCCGGCCCATCACTCGGCAGATTTACAGACCATCGCATGTCATTACCCAAACTTCCCAAACAATTGCCTTCACCGAGTATCCTCAATCCATTCCGACAAGCAGCACATGCTCCACCGGTTCAGAAGAATAGTGAATACGGCGAATCGAAATGGCATGCTAATTGGAATTGGCTGAGTCCATTTTCATCATCGGTGACTTTAGACGAAAATCGATCCCTACTACCACCTCTCGTTGAACGTCCAACCATTTATACATACTACGATCATACAATAGAAAAGGACAATGAGTTGAAAGATGCGGAGAATGCACTCTTGGTCACTTGGAGACGGGCATGGTGGGCGCAAGGCTTTAAACCCATTATTTTGAGCCCTGCAGAAGCCATGAACAATCCATTATATCCCGAATTACAACGACTTGAAGTCGAAAATTCCTTGAAAACAGATCTGACGAGATGGTTAGCTTGGGAAAACATGGGAACCGGATTACTTTGCAATTACCTCACGCTTCCAATGGGTCCTTACGAAGACCAAACTCTGAGTTATTTGAGAAGAGGAGTATATCCATTATTGACGAGATATGAAAAAATGGGAAGTGGTATCTTTGCAGGATCCAAGGCGGATATTACAGCAGCTGTCAAAGCGGCTTTAGCAAACCCAAGTTTGAAAGATGCCAAAGATTTTATTAGTGCTGTCCCAACAGATACTTTCAAGATCGATCCTTCTCATGATTCCTTGGCTTTCTATCAGACCAAAACTCTCGAGGAGAAATATCCACAAGTTGCGAAAGAGTATGAAGGGAATAAAGCAGCGGGTATGAAATTATTGAACAATCTGATGATATCTCATCTTCATCAAACATGGCAAAACATCTTTACCAAAGGAATTTCCGTCGTTAAACCGGAACCAGAACATATGTCATATGTTGTTGAACCAGCTTTACAACTCGCTGAATATCTTGCACAATGCCCCGATTCGCCAATGCCAGCATCTTGCCCTCCAAATCGACCAAAGTGCAAGCCATGTGTCGCTTCGTCTCCGATGACAATTACTACCCCTGCTTTCTACCGCAATACATCAGGTCTTTATACTATCGGAACTGTTCCCCATCCTTACACAATGTCTACATTGACCAGCTTCCAAGAAAGTATTGATGTTCCGTGGATCAGACGAGAGTCTCCTCGTGATGCTTGGCTCTCAACACTTACCAAAGAACTTCTCGGTACAGGTGTTTCGGGTACTCCACGAATCATTAAATTTAAAGAGGCAGTCGCTAGTCCTCATGGAACATCCCATTCCCTCTGGCTCACAGCCGAGAAGGAAGTTCCCTCGGATCTAGACTGGCATTTCGGCTTCACCATCCCTCGCAATGCAACCGACACGGGAAAATCAGAAACTCCAGTCCCAGGTCCAGAACGTAGACCAAAACCAGTTCACGATCCAAAAGACGGGCCAATACCCACTGAGGAGGATAAGAATAAGGAAGCACTTTTGTTGGAAAAAGCAAAAGCATTTGGTGGGAGCACTGTAAAGGAGGATTTGAAGATTAGGGGGGCTGTTGAGGCGTGGAACCTAGCCGATACAGAAGCGTGGAGATTTGCGAGGGCTTTTCTAGCGAGATCAAGAGTCGAGAGGTTAAAGTGGGAAGAGGAGGAGAAGAAATATGCTGGTGGTGCGGGGGCTGAGAGGGGAAAAGAGAGTGGATGGGGCAGATGGTTTGACGATAAATAGATGTATCGTTGAGAATTTGAAGGTTTCCGTAGTGGATGGATGTATACAAAGAAAGTCTTTCATGTTTTATGATGCGCTTGAGCGAATCGAAGCGACATGTGCATGTCAATGTTTTTTTTTTTTACGGTACAATGGATAGATGTGGGGATATCACTCGGAGTTTAGGGGTATGCAGAGCATTTGTATACCAATATCATGTCAATATGAATGTCAGTCAGTTCCAGCGTTCACATTAAACGAAATATTTTAATTTTCAGCAAAACATGTTATTTCATTGCAAATCAAATAGACTCGATAATTTTACAGTGATGTGATACTTTATTGATATTCCTTTAGATATAGAATCCCGCTCGCTACGCTAAAACGTTCACTTCAACTTCATTAACAGCAAAAAACTTCCATCTCCTCCACTCCACTCTGGGTATCGCCGTATCCACTTATATCCATATAATACAATCGGTCGTTCGTAATTCGTGATGCATGTATGCGATTATTCATCCATCCATGCGTCCATGCGTGTGAAAAGGTAAAAAGGGTATAGTATAGTACAATGTGATGTAATGTAAGGTAAGAGGGACAAGGTAATTTAATATGCAACAGTGTGATGACTACCCTTTCCATCAGTTCCTCTCATTCTGCGGGTTCCGGCTGCCTGTTTTCATTGTTAGTACATACTCCTTGTGAAAGTAGTAAGAGTGGAGTTATATATGTATATCATACCTTCAAGCCAGGTCTCCTGGTCAAACTTCCTCTCAATTTCAAAAGCGCGCCGCTGATCTTGTCACCGACGCTGGGCTTGCGGTGGTGGTGGTGGACGGGCTGCGCGGTGACGCCGGCGCGACGACGTCCACCCCATGTGCGTTGTTTGCGATGATGGGTGCTGTGAGTGGTGGTGTTTTCGTAGGTGCGACGGTGGGTTTTGGCACCGCGGAGACGGGAGAAGAGGGAGGGTTTGGTGGTGACGGTTGTAGTTGTGTGGGCCATTTTGAGAGTTAGGTCTTGTTTTGGTGTGGTGGTGGTGGGTGTTTGGGGTAGTGTGTGGATTTGTGAAAGAGGTGACGGCTGTGTTTGTGTATATTCTTGCGATATTGGTATCGAAGTAGTAGATTGATTTGGAGTGGTTCGATAGGTTTTGATGAAAGAAGATAGAGTTCTTAATGCAGCTTTATCAGGCAATTGGTCGTCGTTTTTGATTCTTGGTACGATTTGTGTTTGTGAAGATGATGTTAATGGTATGGGAATTGGAACATGAGGGGACATGTCGGATGTTTTTATAGAAAGCGTTTGATGAGCGTAGGAGTTCCTGGATTCAAGGAAAATGTGGGTTGAGGGACTTCAAACTGGGAAAAAGCGTTGCAATCTCGATTTAATTTTGGCAACAGTGGTGAATGGGTGATATTGAGAGAAGTGATCATCTATGTGATGTACATATGACGGCAAAGCAAGTTGTCAATGTAGATAAGGAAATATCCAGGTATCAAGTCGTGGTCGATTTCACGTCATTTTGGAAGGGATTAAAGAAATTCAGGCGAATGAGACGGAAGCAAGTTGTCTCAGGAGGATTATTTTCCGGAATCTTTGTATGAAAGTGGATAAATTAGGTTGGAAATTGCTGGGGAAAGGGTCTTGGCTGACGGTACTTCTGTCCTAGCACTCAAAAGAATTTTCAGGGTCCTAAGGCTCATGAGGTTTAACTTGCCTGGTAGACAGAAATGACAGGATGGTTGATGGTTGATGGTTGATGGTTGATGCCTTTTCGGATTGGGTGAGAATCGAGAGAGAAACTTGATTTGGAGAAGGATTGGGAATGACGTCGGTTGGTTGTGGCGGGTGGCTGTGCTGAGAAACATTTGTGGCTGGTGCTGAACATATTGGGCGAAGGATGCAGGATGATGGAAAAGAAGATTATGAATGGGGAAAAGAGAGCGAGAACCAAGAACCTGAGGAAATAACAATCAAATGTACCAACAGAAACTGGCAGGCAAGATATAGATAGATAGATGCGGATACAGACGCAGATACATATACAAACACAAATACCAATACCAATGAACAACGCAAAGAACTGAGCACAGAATTCGTTATTGAGACTATGTAGATGATAGCAATAATACTTCCATTAGCAGCTCAACATATCTGAACGGCAACCCCAAACCTAGATGCGGACTCATTTCATGACTACATGAGGTAGAGGGACCTACTTAAGTCATTGCATAAGTAGCCATCCAATAGCTGTGGGAGTATAAGATATTTGCCTAAAAGCATGCGGATTTGTACATCGAGTACGGGCTCGGTAGAGAGAGAGATCTTGACATTCGTTTCAATATGCCCCTCTGAACTGTCATGTATCAAAGATGATCATGATCAATCCGTGCAAGATGGAAACGGGGGACATCTGGATCTCTTATACTTCAACAGTAAAAGGTTAAATGGATCGCAATCCAGTAATCAGTCGTCAATTTTAGATGGCATTTCACAATCTCGATGTTCATCCGATTAGCCAAGCCTTCTCGGTAATGCTTCCGGCTCGACCCCCTCGATTACGTAGAAAGGCAAAGTCCGATCGATGTAGGTTAAAGCTCACGCCGACTTTCTGAACCAATGAACTCATGTGCATCTAAATTCTTACCTCACTTACCCATCATGAGCGACTATTCTCGATCCCATAAAACTCCTTACATCATTGATCTCGACTCGAAAGGACCGAAAATCTGTAGGAGCTACCCCTCCATTGAGTATCAAGCATTGATATCATAATGTGCTTAACCAATCGTCCTCTTTTTATATGGAGTGTCTCGGAGCTTTTGGTCCCTATTCTGATCGAGAAATGCATGGTGATCGTCAGATAGCTTTTGGAGAAGGTGCATCATACTGTTGATGGGTATAAGAAAAGATGAAGTTCTGCGTAAACTGGTTGAGGATTCTTTTTCCATAGACAATCATCCTTTAATCACTTTGATACCATCAAATTCAATCATCAAACTCACTCAATCCACCCCATCTAAACACATTCAAACGATTCAATATGTCTGCAAGCAAGGGTCATTTCGAACAGGGTACGTTATGAAGATACCCCCAATTCCCCTCATGCTCGGCTCGACAAACTTCCAATACCCCTCACACCACCGTATCACTTCAACAATGTACTAACAGGAATATCTTACAGGTCATCAACCTCCCGTATCCCACCAATCATCCGCTCCAGGTCAACAAACCGAATTGCCAAAAGAAGCCATCAACGACCAACTCCCCACAGACGATGGAGGCTACCAACCATATCTCGCCGCCGGGAAACTAAAGGGCAAGAAAGCCTTCATCACCGGTGGAGATAGTGGAATTGGTCGTGCCGTTGCCATTTTATATGCTATGGAAGGAGCAGAAAGTTCCATCATCTACACACCTGAAGAAGAAAAAGATGCACAAGAAACCAAGAAGTTGGTTGAGGCCAAAGGAGGAAAGATCCATTTGTTCTCTGCAGATTTGAAGAGCCAACAGGCTTGTAAAAATGTAGTCGAAAAAGCTAAGGAGGCGATGGGAAGAATTAACATTTTGGTCCTGAATCATGGTACTCAGATGATGGTGGAGACTATTGATGAGTTAACTGAGTATGTTTTAACCTCCCCTCCTACTTGGAAAATTTGTACATGATGCTAATGATGGAAATAGAGAGCAATGGATTAACACTTTTGATGTCAACATCCATCCATTCTTCTTCCTTTCCAAATACGTCCTCCCACAAATGTCCCGCGGTGACACAATCATCACCTGCGCTTCCGTAAACCCATACGTCGGTCGTCCAGATCTTCTCGAGTAAGTTTTCCCACTCCTCCTTTCTTCAAGCCCACCACTAACAACTCCCCAGCTATACTTCCACCAAAGGTGCCATCGTAGCCTTCACCCGCGCCCTTTCCAACCAACAAATCAGCAAGGGTATCCGCGTCAACGCCGTCTGTCCCGGTCCCATCTGGACCCCTCTTATCCCCGCAACGATGAACGAGAAAGCACAAAAAGAATTCACATCTCCCATGGGTCGTCCCGGCCAGCCATCAGAATGCGCCACTTGTTTTGTATTCTTGGCGAGTGCGGATAGTAGTTTTATTAGTGGACAGAGTTTGCACCCTAATGGAGGTGTGCAGGTTGGTTCTTAGACGAATGCGAGGCTTGTGGTTAATGAATGAGGGGTTATGATATTAACATAATGAAATATTACTTCTATAAATACTTAATCACCTATTCTATGAAATTCCGTGAAAAATGTCTTATCTCTCGTGTGTAATCCTCAAGATATCTAATCCCATACCCAAATCATCAAGTTGGGCTACACCACCTTTATTCTCGGCAGGCGACCTAGCTTCCTCCCTCTATTTCCAAAATCCAAGTTCTCAACTTCGACTTCATTCACCAACGGCGATATGGCTTGTGAGGAAGTTCAAATAGATTTTGTATCCAATGACTATTTGATAACTGTTTACGGTGTACATGTATGTTATCACGAAGGCTCGGCGAAGCAGGTGATTTGTTATGCAATTCATATTATATCAACACTCAGAAGTCTAAACTTCTAGTAAAATGCTCTCGGATCGATCGTAAATTTCTATCTCGTTTTACAAATTACAGTTTTATATAATGAATTGTGCTCATACCCATAAATTCAAGCCTATAATATTATATCCCCCTTATCCTATCCTATCCTATCTCATCCCATCCTCATTCTTTCACACCTCCCCCTTGCACCTCCCCCACAAGCTAAGCTTTCTTCCACTCAAAATGTCTCCTCCCAGTCTCCGGTTCCCCCACCTCATCATCCAATTTCTTACTATCAAACATGTGTTTCCCAAAATAATCCAACTCCGCCTCGTAGAACTGCGTCGGCAATTCCATGTTCCCGCTGTATTTGAGATACTCCAATGTAGCTGAGATACTCGGCGTGATGGCATTATGTTCTACGCCTTTGAGTACGATGCGCTTAAGGGGTTCAAATCCGGAGGTTAGTTCGGAGACGATGGGAGAGGCGTAGAGAAGGTCTGGGGTTTCTGATTTGGTGGAAGAGGAGGAAGAAGTGTAGATTTGAGAGAGGAGAGAAGAGATGTGGTCGCTTTGAATGATACAGCCCGCGCGCCAGATCTTGACGATATTGCTATAGTCGATATTCCATTTATTCTGACGGTTGGCTTTATCGATGATACTCATGCCTTGGACATAAGACGCCAGACAGGTTGTGTAAACTGCTTTTCTTAAATCCTCTATGATACTTTCTTTCTCCTGCTCATTCTTAAGCGTGATTTTCGAGGGTTTAAATGAATCGTGGAATGCTTCATTGACCTGTTGTCTATGTCCTCGATAGGCTGATACGATGCGGAGATAGTGGGCTGTGGAGAGAGTTGGAGCTGGCACGTGAAGAGAAGTGGCTTGGGTGTTGGACCAGATGCCGGTTCCTTCTGATCCATCGATGTCTTGGACAACTTTGTCTTGGACATCTGCTAGGACATGGTTTCCGGATTTATCTTTTTGTTCGCAGATGTCAGCGCCGATTTTTACGAGGAAGGTGTTTTTCTTTTAATCTCGGTTAGCCGGGAAAATTGACGGAATATAGGATTGAGAACAACACATACCAATTCCCCTTCAGCGGACCACTTTTCAAACACCTTCCCAATATCATCATATTTCATTCCCAGATGTTTATTCATAAAGGTCCACGCTTCGCTAATCGCACTCATCATTCCATGCTCAATTCCATTGTGAATCATTTTCACATAATGTCCCGCACCACCTTCTCCAATTCTCGCTACACACGGTGTTCCATCCTTCGCTTTCGCAGCCATTTTCTCCAATAAAGGCATGACGGTGTTCAAAGCTTGTTCTTGACCTCCGGGACACATACTCGGTCCTCGTCTGGCAGCTTGGTAGCCTCCAGATACACCACATCCTATATAATACACACCTTGTGCGACCAATTTTCCCTGTCTCCGTTGTGTATTATTCCAATTCTCATTCGAGCAATCGATTATTATATCTCCCTTCTCGAGATATGGATGAAGTCCCTCGACGACCGTATCGCCTACTGTTCCATGTGGTAGGGAAAAGAAGATGACTTTTGGAGAAGAGAGGGAGTCACAGAGAGAGTCGTACTCGGTATGTTTGGATAGAGTTCCAGAAGTGATATTTTGGTCTTTGGCGGATTGGATGAGGGAATCAACGGTGGAAGAGGAGGGGTCTTGAACAGAAACTGAGATTCCTTTTTCAGCGAGGAGAAGTGTCATTCCTCCTCCCATGGAGCCGGCTCCTATCATTCCTACCTGTGGACTGTTAGATGCGTTTTGAAGATTGAAACAGGAAGTGACAACTTGCCTTTGTGATTTCCATGGTGACTGGGGTTGCTTCTGTGGCGGGGTGGATATAGTAACTTTGTTGATATGAGAGGTATGAGAGTACAAACCAATAAGTTGAACAGAAATATTTGAGAGAGATATCAAGAAGATACATCAAACTTATCTATCCAATTTCTAATCTAGCTAGAAGACTACCTACATTGAATGGAGGACGCCTACGTAGGATGACAGGACCTCTTCTCCGAAGCACCAAAACGTCACTCATTATGACGTAGACGTGTATTTTATTAAGCCAATTAATATTGAGTAGTCGGGCCTACCTTCTGATGCTTTAGAAAACCAGATGCATCTCGATATCAATGCTCACAAACGATGAGTTGTGTGCTCTTCCTCCTTTGAATACCCAATCGGGAGCCATTGAAATATATATAAAATGCCAAGATCAAGTATGTATGATATGTTTGTTTTATCGACGTCACTTGAGATGAGAGGATGCTTATGTAATACAGTACATACATCCAGCGGTGATCTTGTAACTTACCCCTTCATTTGGGAAACGAGTGCATATGATCAACCCCACTCTTTGGACGGAAATACAACCTACATAATTATCAGCAAATATGGACATCTATACGTATGTATAACCTCGACCTCATTCCCTCCAAATTTACCTTGTTCCCTTCATCACTCTCTAAGCAAATCAGCTCGCAATGTTCCCCATTATTCAAAACACGAATGATCGCCATAGAATTCTCCATCTCTACCGGCAATTCAGAAATACCTCGGTTCACATCTCGAATTTGGCCCCGCGAAAAGGCGGGTACCTGACATCTTTCTCATGCGTATTCTGCGTAGGGCTTTGAAATGTTGATTCACATAAGGTAACCATAAAAGGTAAAGGAACTGCGTTTCTCATAAGGCTGTTTATTACTGGATAGATCAAGTGCTTAGGACTACTTGAGATGTGTCACATATATTTATAAACACGCCAGAAGGTAAAAGATCCTTCTGGCCGATGAGCGAGATGTGGTAAGCTGGGGCTAGTGGTAATGGCAGTGGGAGGTACGGACGAAGCTTTTATGTATAGTAATTTGACAATTGGCATGTGTTAAGATCTTCCTTTCTGTCTTTCTTTCTTCGATTCGATTCCTTCTTCCTCCTTGACAGAAAACAATACCATTCAATCCAACAACAGATTCTCTACAAAGAAAATCTACCCAGTACCTTCCATAGCGATTGAAAGAGAGGAGCAATTGTCCTTCAATAAATCAGCAAGCCCGTCCAAACCCCACCATAAATAACCTCAGAATTCCCCAATCCGGAATTCCTACAAGCCCCTCCAAACCCCTCAAATCCCCAAAGATGGCACCCGTCAAACCCTTTTGGTCTCAGCCTTCTCACCCACATGTTCAAGAAGTCATCTACGGCGAAGATGAAAATGGATATACCACAAAATCCATCTCCAAAGTTTCTCTTCCTCCTTTTGCTGTTTTTGCAAAATTGGTATTTTCCCCCACCAACATAACTACTACCCGAATCCAAGTCTTGAGTAATTGCTAACCACAATCGCAGGAATTTCCACCATGTACCGACGCCCCAGAAGCTACTTATGCCACTGTCCAAACAGACACAAACACCCATTTGAATCTCAATTCGGACTTATTGTATATCAATCATTCTTGTGAACCTTCTCTCGTATGTTTTCTCTTCCCACTCTTCTTCCCTCCCCAGTCCTCCTCTAAATCATCCCCATAGATCTTCGACGTGCAAAACCGCACCATTCTCACCTCCCACACTGGCCTCACTGTAGGCCAAGAACTAACTTTCTTCTACCCTTCCACCGAATGGTCCATGTCCCAGCCATTTCCCTGCAACTGTGCTACTCCCTCTTGCGTAGGAGAGATCAGTGGTGCGGGACAGATGAGCGCTAAAGCCTTAGAGGGAAAATGGTTGAGCGCTCATATTAGACGGGCATTAGAGGAGAAGAGGAATGGGAATGGAATCGGTAACGTGATGAAGAATGGAGAGAAAAATGTCAATGGAAAATTGAACGGCGTTAATGGGAAAATGTCAAATGGAGAAGTTAATGGAGAGGGGGAAATCAATGGAAGACGAGGCGTCACGAGTAGGGAAATGAGCGGAGAGATGGGTGGAGATACTTTGTAGAATATGGGGGGGTGATTGAGAGGAGGTTTCCTTGCGTTCTGGTTTTTGATTTTTGGCTTTTTAGTGTTTTGTCCTTCAACAGGATCATGCGAGTTTGGTATGTTGGGATTTAACATCCTGTTGGTATTGCATCATATTATATCGTCATACAACTTTGTTATTTAGCAAACTACACATTTGATTTTCTTCTGCCTATCTATGTACTGTGATGCAACCCGAGTAAGTGTCCCTCATGAGGATGGAGATACAAAGCCCCAGTTCCACATCATGCCATTCAGTAGCCATATACGATAAGGCGAGCCTAACGAAAATCAAAAACAATATAATGCAAATGTTGTTGAAGTAAACCCTTCCTGTTTGAAAGCCTATTCGTCATCGTTCGTAAGTGAGTGTGGTCCAACTGGTCAGCAAGTAGCCAACCTTGTTGTTCCCAAACCCTATGCCATGTGGTATATCAATTGTCAACGAAGTCTCAGATAAGAAACATATCGTCAACTGTGTACCAGATGCTGTGCGATCAAGTCCCACCTTGAAAGCCGTCAAATATCCACCACGATACCCGCCTAAAGCACTCGTCCCAAATTCCGAAGCACAATCTTTCATAATCCTCCTGCATATTCTCCTATCTCCCCTGCAAATTAAGTATCCATTCAAACATTATCCCCATTCCCAATTGAACAGACCAGATGTGAAAATCGAGCTGACCATTTGTCCACACCATTATCTCACAACCCTGACCAACCTGGCAAGATATGATTTATAAAAAAAGCACCAAAGAAAACATGAAAAGGCAAAAACAAGCTTGTGAACATCGTCCTGAGTCATTGGCACATCCTTTCGTATCGTACAATCAATTATTATCCTCCAACCATATAAGCAAGGTACGGCATTGAGATGAAATTAGAACCAAAGCAAGTCGATCAACTCTGACGATAGCTCATAGAAGCACACAAGTGCTGGTGATTCTGAGCTAAAAGTCGTCTAAGCAAGGCCGTCTACTATGTCAAAAAGAGAAACATCAAGAGCATAAGAAAACAATCGCATAAGTAATGGATCGGGTAATAACAGCACAACTCCGAATCGAGAAAACTGCAAGGAAATCGTAGGGTATCGTAACAACGTGTAGATTGAACCTAGTGAAGGTATAGGAAATCGTAGTCGAATCAGTTCTAGTAATGTCTCATGCCGACATCATACATAGTTTCGTCCCATCTGAAAAATTAAAATCCTTGGTTAGCAAAAGGGAGATAAAATTTTCAAAACTCAATCAGATCACCATTGCCCACATTATCGTAAAATGTCTGGGGTGGAGAAGATTCTTGAACTGACTGTAATTCATCCACATCCATCATCGAGTCATCTTGGTCCATTAGATTTCTAGGCTGAGCAGAAGCTCTTACCTCCAAACCTTCAACGCCAAAGGTTGGGGATGACTGACTCAACGACATTGGCGTAGACAAGAGATTAATTAGAGGCAAAGATGCCGACGCTCTAGATAACACTCGTGGGCTCTGTGACAACTCTTCTGTCTCCGCTTCACATTCATGACTTTGCTCATCTTCGTCGGAAGTAAGCAGTCCTTCCAAGAGCTCCTTATGTTCTTGATCGTCGGTCTTACGCTTTTCCCGTGAAGCAAAAGTTGCTTTGTTGATATCTTTACTATCCTTATGCTTGTGGCTACGGTAGTGAATAGGTTCTGGGTCGGGGAAATATGGAAGACGCCTGCTTAATTCTTCCAATCTTGCCTTGCTGGGAGATGGGTTTTTCTTCCACTTTCGATTGAGAGGAGCAAAGCCTGAATCACTTGTAGATCCGGATAGTGATTGCACAACAGCGACAAAGTTGTTGACTGTCTTCTCTCTTAACAATCCAACGTGCTGAACGAGATTGCGAAGATGCTCAGGCTGGGCCTGATCTTTAGGTTTCATTGGGCTACCTTCTAGCATGCCTTGATAAATTTCGCTATCCTCGGCAAACGTGTTGTGGTCGAGGACAGACGGTGAGCCTGCATCCACTTTGTGCATTCTCCTAGTTCTGTCTGGATCAGTATGGTTACACACTAGCCGCAATCTTGGTGTCGATTGGGCTAAGGGACTAGAAGTGAGTAGTGAGTCCAGATCATCGAAGTCTGTGTTGCTTTGGTGGACTGAAGACTTCTTATTTGTGCGATCGAGAATTGAAAATTCCAGCGCCGATCCAGTTTCAGGCATCTGGCTACTGAAGGTCGAAGGTTGCATAACTTGCTCACTTGAACTTGGTGACTCGGTAAATGGGTCTGTGAGTGCCGAATTCTGACTGTGGAAAGATCTTACATCACTGTTGAGTGGCTTCCTGGGGATTCTGAGATTCCCTGTCATCTCTTGCAGCTTAGAGTTTTCTTTCAAATTTTGGACTATTAGAGAGAATCAGTTTCGCCAATCTTGGATAAAAGAGATCATCATTCAAACTACCTTCATTAAGTCTCAGGTCTGTGCCACTAAGAGATTCCGGGCGTCTATCAGGTTGTTCTTGGATTGTTTGTGAGTTGACGAAGGGTGGTTGAACCAAATACTTCTCTTGACTATTATCATTCTTTCTACGGCGAAAGCTTCCTTGTAATACGTTTTTAACCTTAAGAAAAGCCCCGGCCTTTAATCTTCTCTTTTTTTCGACGACCAAAGTATTTATCGATCCTAACTGAAGTTCCTCCATTGCCTTGAAAGTTTGCGCAACAGAAGAATTGATTGCATTCGGATCGGAAGGGTTGACAACTAAGCGTGATTGCTCGTCAAGACCGCCAGATGTCCGAATAATTGGTCCTTTGGGGAATCTTCGTGTTTGAGACTCCTTGGTTGGGCTTCTACGACGAGATGTCTTATTTAACGCGGATTGTCTCTTGGACGATTTCCTAGGAATAGGTGGCGCTGAACTCTTCCTTGAGTGTAATGAAGGTTTGGTGGTCCCATTAGAGAAGTCAGTGTCGGTGACCGTACTCTTACCGGTGATACACATCTCATTTTCACTGAAATTGAGACTGGGCAATTGTGGTAGGGTGTTCTCGGTGATTGTGGGTATATCGTGTCGCTCATTAACGGCAATCTCATCTATCGATCCACCACTGTCTTCATTCGGGGCTTCTCTGACTGGTTGCTGTTCTTCAGTGCCGGCCGGAGAGTGAAAAGCCGCTAACTGGCGCGTGCTTGACTCTGTTGATAACTTTATATTAGCTTCACTTCCAAGTTGATGGCATCTAAGGTAACTTGAGAAGCACAGTAAGTTCGAATCGAACTAATGGACGGTTTGGAACTTTGGATGCCCAAGCGTGGTTGGAGACGTGGGGACACAATAAAAACATGAAAGTGGAGTACAGCCGTGTCAATGGATTGATACTTCAGGTGTAACTTCAGGTGTGAGAAAATAGAGTAAATCACTTACCTCTCTTGCTAGCTCTATTCTTCTTTGCTTTGATTTGTTGGTTGTTTCTAAGAGAAGCGAACGAGCCCATCAGAGCATTTTTCTTCTTCTTCCCATAAGTCTCCATGGTGGAGAATTACGGAGGTTTGTTGTGGACGAAAAATCGATCGTATACGGGATGCGATAAATTAAAGTCGGAAATGGTAGATAGAGGTGGTGCCAGTGGTGGCTAGATACTGTTGGTAGTGAATGTTAGCTAAGGCAAGATCGACGGAGCTTGAAATTGATGGCAGCGAAGGAAGGAGGGAACGGATGAAGGGGTAGCGTAAATATTAATTAAAATCGGATGAACACCTTCAGAGATCCATTTATCGTGCAAATGTTGCTCATTGATTGTCAGCTTGATAATGATGCTCGCCAAAAGTGCAGAGAAGAAAGTAAGATTTCGTTCGTTATAGGATCGAACGCTTCAAGATTCAAGTTCGAAGGACAAAAACAACAATGATTGATTGTGCGATATCAGCGCAAGTCTCTTGTGCTCATTATATCGCAGAATCCACTGATAGCAATGGGGTTGTTCAAGTGAGGATGGGGAATGGAGGAGTAGGGGTGAGATTGACGCGATCTTACCTCAAAAGAGTTGGGCGATTATCTTTGATGGAAGCCGTAAAAGTAGCACTTTCGTCTTATCAGTTTAGCAGTAGATTTAGAAATGTGATAGCTTTGCTGCGCATTTGACAATAAAAGTTGTGCTGAGAAGTTGATATGGTAACGGGTGTAGGGTTTGACAAGGCGAGGAGAATGTTTCGACGGCGTGGGGTAAGGTGATTTTGACAACCAAGTAATATGAACTAAGGTGCCCAGCCGGGTATGTGCTTGACGGGAATATTCAAGGGCAAAACTCAAATTTGATAGCAGTGAGGCCCGGGTAAGGGAATAGTGTAAAGAATGTACTCCAACCAAAAATATTACCTGTCTTGAAGCCCCGATTAGATGAGAGTATTTTTACACTGTTCTATCAATAAAGAAAAAGTGCAAGACGACCTGAGAAAGATGCCAACTTGGTTATGGTGCCAAAAAAGTATACAGACACTAAGCAGAAAGCTTTCCAGAGCACTTTCGTTACTAGGCTGACTTACCCAAAACTATTGTTGAAGGGGGACCAAACCTTGGAAACAAAGCTACCTATCTTGTTGTACCTATCTAGAGGATCAGCAGTATTCTGTTTTGTTTTGAAGTAACTGGAATCAACAACTAATGGAATTCCATTTCGTTGTGAGCACAAGAAAGGCTGCATACCTTATACATCTACAGCAGCATTATTACTGTGAACCAGCTAAAGCAACCGCTGTATTCTTCGACACCCTTTTGAAGAAGCTCTAAACAGGTTGAACAACGCCAGATCCCACAGCAGTAGCTTGGGTATCGATTTATGATTATCTGCGGCAACTCATAGAATCCTGGACACCCCTCCGCAGAATCAGGAGAAGACCGAAGACCTATGGAGCCACTGCAATATCCCTTTGAGTTAAATTGGCTGCAATGGTTGTTGGCATATCTAGTATCTCTCGGCAGAGCTTGAAAGAATACCGCGCAGCGTTTGAAGCCTTCCTAGGATCGTAGATTCTCTCTGGAAAGAAGGAATACCGTCTACTGGTCCAAAGGCAATGGCGCACAATGAGGTAGATCGAGGCCTAACCCCTTCTGCAAGTATCTTCATACTATATCATATGTATGTAGTGGATATATAGCTAACCAAAGTATCATACGATAGAGAAACGCTCAACAGCTACATGTGTATTCCCACACCCTGTAGTAGCAACAGCAGCCACATCCCCAGAGACAGCTTTGTTTCAACGAGCAACAATCAGGTAGCACAATATCCGGAGAGGCATTACACCCTATAGCAACATTCTCAGGAGGGGCAATAAGTTCTTTGCTGAAACATGATTAACAGCAATTGAATCAACAAATAAATCCATTTATACACCCAGCTCTCTACATCTACTTCTGATCCGTCATTTTGGACACTGACCGACTTGATCGTGCAGATACTTCACGATGAAATAACCACACAATATTCACACCGTCATCAACCATACTATCACACTATCATTTGATTGCGTGGCTACTGCGCGCTTTCAAAGGTTAGGAGTGTTGCCAATATTTCTTCAAGCTTTCCCAGACCCATTCGCACTTCCCATCAGTATGAGATAACTAGCTGACACTCAAATTCTACCAGAAACCCTCCCTCGCTCTACCCCGACTAGAGTTCATATTATACTTTGCATTAGGAGCAGGCTATCTAACGATCTCCAACCTTGAATCGTCGATCAAAATGTATCGGACAACTACCCAGCTTTTATGTTCCGCCACGTATACAATAAGCCGTCGAAATACCTGACACACAGTCTCATATAAGCGCATAACAAAGCAAAGATATAATGTCTGGAAGCCCTTATCTCGCGACCACATATACTCCTGCAGCGAAGAAACAAACAATTGTTAGGACTTTACACTTGAAAGGAGCTCTGCAAACTCCAAGCAAATTTATTTGCGTTGAAGGATAATTGATATATACAGTGGGCATTCTTTTCACGACTTCTCCTTTGAGACTTGGGTGCGGCACATGCGATACTTCTACTCGAATTATTCCTGTCCATTGGGCACAGCAGACATTACACAGACTCAACTAAGAACCAAAGCCAGTTCATCATATTGTACAATTGAGGGGCGACCTCTGTCTCTAGGGTTCCAAATTTCTTGTAACTATTGAAAGAAACATGGAAAAAGTACTTTTATGTTTAATCCATGCAGAATTTTCTAAATTTCAACGCCAACCTGGTACACCCAACCCCATTGAAGAACTCCACATGAACTAACCAATTGCCCAATGTTTTATGCTAAACTTATCTTCAGGAAAAACTCATCAGGCTTTGGACTGATGCATTCATGGGTAGCAATTTACTACTCAAAGGACATGTGCTAGTACTGCATCTCTTATTATGATATAAACATCCAAATACATCTGTCTCTTCAGAGCTATTCACATCTAGACAAAAATGGATATTGTCATTGTTTGTGTTGGTTACTCGACCCCTAATTACGCGAGTTCTTCAATTCTGCCATCTGACCTCTGATTCGAAGAGGCAGAAAGTGAGTGCTTGGACCAAGCTCTTCAGTTTTACACTTCAGCTGGCCTGACCATTCACACAACATCTTTTGTACCCTTGGCCAAAGGAAAACCTTGCAATCATTTACTGGATGATATACAAATTAAGTTGTTGTTTACTTCTGTTCTACCTTTGTCTTTCTATGCTGTCATGCCAGTATAAATGGCTAGTTGCTAAACTATAATTCTCTCTCTCAACTTCTGTCTCAATCCGCACACAGCTTTTGGAAGTAGAATACTTAAGCATGTATTTATTGAGTTTTGTTGAGTTATCCACATCAGACCATCATACTGTACACTGCCAACTTGCAACCCTGTGGCTTGATTTACTCGACTACCTTTTGGTGGTTGTAACAATCCCCATGCTGTACTTGACAAAACGCTCTCCCATTCAAAACTTTGAATCCGACAAGCTTTAGAACCTTATACACAGAACCCTTACGCTTAGAGTGCACGTATCATCATGTTTTTCCACTGCTTGAAGTGTAGCTTCTAGAGCACCAACAAGTAATCATGTTAAGCTTTGATTAGGAGTAAGTGCTCTTGTATTAGGGAACATCAAACCCCCATTCTCACCAAAGTGCCACTGCATAACTGGGGCTATCAAACATGTTGCTAAGTGCCTGTCATTAATGGGTATAACATTCTTGAAACCAGACCCTAGACCACATTGCAGGAGTGGCAGATATGTTAAGAGAGTAAACAAACCAAAATTGCTACTCCGACGTTCACCAGAATGTAACAGAGTACTACACTAGCTATTATCTGATTTGCGGGGAAACAAGCGAATGATGGAGAAAAGCATTATTATTTTTTGCGCGGCTGGCATGTTGGTACATGGCTATCATATTATTCCCATTTCAATGATGTTCCAACGATTGCGCCATTTGACCCATGCTCTCAATACACATTCAGTAAGTGGGAGTGCTTACTCCGCCAAAGCTGCTCCGGTAATGTATCTCCGGAAACGATTTTCCGCGGAGACTTTCCAGACGTAGGAACAGGAGCACTCCTCAAGTGCTGACAATGCGCCCAAGGGGCATGCTGGCACATATCATTGGGTTGTGTTAAGCTGAGAGTTTCTGGGCTTGATACCACCGCCGCCGAGCCAAGACATGTGAAAATTGAAGGATGGGACCCGAGACTATCGAGCCATGTGGATGGGCTATTCTCTCTTATATTGACGACAATTGATATGGCTAGGAAAGTATACGAAACATGTGCGGAATGTCAGACCGGAGCTCGGAATAGGGTATCTCGTTTTTGTGGATTAAGGTTGTTTTGATTTGTATTCGGCTTTGATTCGGATTGTTTGCACAAATGTGGTAATATTATTGTCATCACTACGGTGAACTGTAAAGCTATCTACCACTTGGGTATTCTCGAGTCAGGTCTTGGGCTTTGAATGCCTTATTCTACTATGTGCACCGGTGACCTTGGACAGTAGGATTTCACCCCTTTCATGTTCATTCCTTGACAAATATGACAATATATTAATAGGGACGGAACCATCAAGTTTACTTCTTTCTTCCTCTATCAAATCAAAAACAAGAGACAACATTTGTCATCTGAAACTTTCAGATCTACTCAGCTACTCGGCCACCGTAGTTATCAGCTGAATCACCTTATCGATTATTGGATAACATCAACATGGATGGCATTATTGGATTGCCCACTGAGATGTTCGAAACACGGAGTGTCTAGTAATCATGTTCGGAATCTGTTCCATTTGAAAATTATTTCACACATGTCACATCTTTATAAGATCTCCAGAAACTTCCCTTTCAATTCACTATTTTCATGCGAAGTTTTTGATTCATTATCTTTGTTATAAGCTTTCATCCAATCATAATTGTGGAATTCATAAACCACACGATTTTACCCGACTCCGTAATTTTTTAACTTTCATATCTCGGTCTGGATCATAACCTCCGTCCTCCGCCACCTTCACACAGTTTATATCAACTCGGATCTGCACTCTTTAACATCCATCATTCAACGCTCAATACATTCACAATCCTTCACTGTATACCCAACATGTCGTTCTCTAGTCTCGTACAGGATTTGTCATTCAGAGATGCCGCCAGCGAGCGACGACCACCAATTCGAGGACCTGGATCCGTTTCGACTTATGATGATCGTGCATCATATGTTTCCAGGGCCGACTCTCACGTCTCTAGAGCCAGGTCGTACGCAAGTACTGCTGCCACTAGCGTGAGCATATCTGGAGATATTGGTAGTCAACTGCACGGTGGTTACTGTCATCCTTTGGCAAGATCATGGCAGGCTGAGAGACAACTGACCAAGGTAAGATCTGCATTACTATGTACATCTCTTTCAGCTTCTGACAATAATCGCAGTCAATGCTTATCTACCCCTTATTCATTTCCGACATTGAAGACGAAGAAACTCTTATTCCTTCCCTACCCGATCAACACCGCCGAGGCATCAACAAAGTTGTTCCATTCTTAGAACCTCTTATTCGCAAGGGTTTGAGATCTGTTATATTATTCGGTGTACCGATTGCGCCCAATGTCAAAGATGCTCTTGGAACAGCTGCAGATGACCCACAAGGTCCAGTCATTGCTACAATTCGACTCCTCCGTCAAAGATTCCCGCAACTATTCATCGTTGCAGATGTCTGCCTTTGCGAATATACCTCCCACGGACATTGCGGTATCTTAAGGGACGATGGTAGTCTCAACAATCAGTTATCCGTCGATCGCGTTTCGGACGTCGCAATCGCATATGCTCAAGCTGGTGCTCATTGTGTAGCTCCTTCAGATATGAATGATGGTCGCATTCGTGCTATCAAGCTTAAATTGATCGAGGAGGGTATTGCACACAGAGTCGTCTTGATGTCATATGCTGCCAAGTTCTCTGGTTGTCTGTATGGGCCATTCCGTGATGCAGCTGGTTCTGTTCCTTCATTTGGAGACCGAAAATGTTATCAATTACCACCAGGAGGTCGCGGTCTTGCTCGCAGAGCCATTGAAAGAGATATCGGTGAAGGTGCAGACATTATCATGGTCAAGCCAGCAAGTCAGTATCTTGACATTATTAGTGACGCAAAGGAGATTGGAAAGAATATGCCTGTTGCGGCATATCAAGTTAGTGGAGAATTTGCGATGATTCATGCTGGAGCTAAGGCTGGAGTTTTTGACTTGAAGACAATGGCGATTGAATCTTCTGAGGGTATTTTGAGAGCCGGTGCGACCATCATCGTCAGCTATTTCACACCACAATTCCTTGACTGGCTTGAATCATAGACGGGGTTATTATAGATTATTGGATCACTCGGCGCATTTGTCTAGGCTTGTAAACGGTGTTTGGGATACGATATTAATGAAGGGACTGGGAAATGGAGTTAGACAAAAATGCTGTCAGAATACCATGAATTTAATGCTACACTTAAGAACTCGACTTTACTATAACTCACTGCATCACATCTCTAACCAATGTCCCTATGATTCACTCTTGCTGTAGCGACTTAGATTTTTATATACCATCAACCCTGTCAAGTCCTTGGCTAGTGGGGTCCCCTTATTCCTCGGCCGATTGCGGGGATCCTTGATCGGCTAAAATGGTCCGGATGGAAGGGCTGCGTAGCTTTGTGCCGAAGACAGCCTCGTGAAGCTTGTGTTAAAGCTTCGAAGCTGTGAGTCAATCAAACCTTTAAATATTCGGAATCTTTGGGTCATGATCTTCAGCATCTTAACTTGATCTCCATTCATTTGTTCCGTGTAAACTCTAGAAATCCAGCAATGAAGTGTTTTGCGCCCCGGCGCATATCAAGTCGTTCGACTTCCTTTCTTGAAGATTGCGCATCGAATACAAACAAGACACTTTATCCTGCTACAACATATCGATTACGACTTTCGGCGCAAAGAAAAGAGAAGCGATATGCTTCATTTAATAAATCTTCGAGGCCAAAAACTGCGCTGTTCTTTCCTGGTACGATCGCATGATGTCGCATGTTTGTAGTGATGTTGGTTTGTTCGTATCCACTAACAATCAACAGGTCAAGGAGTCCAAAGAGTCGGAATGTTAACGCCATGGCTCGAAGCTTTTCCCGCTACCGCCGGCCCCATAGTCGAAGAAATCGATGATCTTCTAGGCTACAAACTCTCATCCATAATAGCAAATGGACCCAATAGTACCCTGACAGCTACGGGCAATGCGCAACCTGCTATTATGGCGTCTTCCATCTTGATTTTACGAGTTTTAGAACGAGAATTTGGCTTCAAGACACACGAGCGAGTTGATTTTACGTTGGGACATTCTTTGGGTGAATTCGCTGCGTTGGTTGTTGGTGGATATGTGGAGTTTGAAGATAGTTTGTACCTCGTGCGCAAACGGGCTGAAATCATGGCCGAGTGTTCGCGGAGAGCAAGCGCAGAACATGGAGGTGAATATGGGATGGTAGCTTTGGTCACGGAACCTGATCACCTCTCTTCTTTAATCGAAGCTATACACCAATTTCTAGGTCATATTTCTGCGGGTTCAAAGTCTGAAAGTGCGGAGGTCCCTCCTATTCAACAAGTACTAATTGCGAACATGAATAGCAAGAATCAGATTGTTTTGAGCGGGAATATTGGGAGGATAAAGGAATTATTGACACATTTGAGACAATTTGGAGGGCATGATCCTAGGGCCGTTAGGTTGAAGAGTGACAGTCCTTTTCATAGTCCATTGATGAGGCCTGCGGCAAAGTCTATGTTGAAATTATTGGAGGGGAAAAGTAGGGTAAAGGGAAAAGAAGACAAGGACTTATTGATATTCCCTGGGACAATGGATTGCATAAGTAATGTCAGTGCAAGGCCGTTCCAAAGTAAAGAGGAATTGAAGGACCTGTGGTCGAGAAGTTGTGTCGAGACTGTCAGATGGTGGGATTCAATCAAATACTTGGACCAGGAGAAGAAAGTTCGGAGGTGGATTGGTATTGGTCCAGGGAAAGTTGGGAGAAATTTGGTGGGCAAAGAAGTTGGGATGAGGGGGATGGATACCTTAAAGGGAGGCGGGGTCTGGGGTATCAGTGACCCGAAAGAGATTGAGGAAGCTTTGAAAGCTTTGGATGAGACGGAATCCCTTGGTGTGGAGGAATTGAAGTGATCAGCTGCTTGCAATCTATGTTTCTTTCTTCTCAGGGGGATTCATTAGGAGGAGAGACTAAGCCGTCTATAATATACAGGAGGAAAGTATTGGAAGGATACAGCGAGTTCGAAAAATTAATGGCGTGGAGGTGTTTTTCTAATTTGAGCGAGCGCATTTGCACATCTTAATTAGAAGTCTCATGGCGAGGCTACGAGGCTGGATGGATTATACAATACCCAATAAGTACTGTTATGAATATTTATACATTATTAATATTCCTTGAAGTTCTCGCCGTAAATCTGAATCCTACACTAAACCAATCAGCTGTAAATGTATGTTGGAACTCGCAAATCTAAATATTTCTTGCTTCACTATCGCGCAGACCGCAGCCTTGCGGTTCTCGGCAAACTACAATTGCATGTCCCATCGCAAATCGCATCGCATTACAACTTCACTCCCTATAACCTATTAAATCACCCACGCTCTTCGTTCAATCGAGAGACATACAGTGAAGAATCGCATACCTTCAACTATGACAACCATTCCTTCAATAGCCTGTCTAGGCGTCATAGGCAAGAATGTACGTTGTCCATCCTCCTTCCTACTCCTCTCATCCCCATCCCCTCCAAATTTCATACGTAGATTTCAATCCACTAACACCTCTAGAACAATCCTCTCCATATCTCTATCTTCCCACCTCACTCACCACCCTACCCAACATCCTCCTCTACCTCCACCCCCACCAAATCCACACCTGCCGTCCACGAATCCTTGCGTACACCTCTCCAGTACTCGCTTCTGCTCAGTTCCACGCTCGACATATTTGATTCGCGGAGTCGCGTTTCGGGGAGCAATTTAACGGGGGACTTGGGGCTGCTGTACGCGGTGGATGAGAGGTTAGCGGCGTATGGGTTTGAGACGAATACGGGGGTTAGGTTTGTCGTTTTTGTGGATGGGAGGGGGAGGGTTGTGAGGAATATGGGGGGGAATGGTGGGGGGAATGGCGGGAATGGGAATACAGAGGGGGGTGTGGGGGGAGGAGGGGTGAGAGAAGGGGATATCAAGAGTGTGAGTTTTGAGTTTTGAGTTTTGTTTTCTCGCTGATTGGCAGGGGAAGAGGAGAGGAGAGAGATCTGGAAGGGGAAAGTTTCGAGAGAGAATGCTAATAGTGCAAATAGATATTCAAGGCGATGCAAGCGGCATATATCCGGCTCCTACAAAATCCATTCTACGATCCAGATGAACATTGTCCAGTTAATGGGAAGGGCGGGAAGAAGATTGTTAGCAGGAAGTTTGTGGAGGATATGAGGAGGATTGGAGAGGGCTGGGTGCCGGGGAGTGTTTGATGAGCTGGCCGTGTACCCGGGGAAGTTTGGGGTCTTGAATAAAGAAGGAGAATATGGTATCGATAATATGCACATACGCACACAGAGAGATGTAGAGGAAGCGAGAAAGACAATTGCATAGGAGCAAACCTTGGAGTCGGGGGCTTTTCACATTGAGACGATTAGCATGGATGGAGTTTGGGGAATTATGTGAGTATTGCTAGCTGGTACAAATCAATACTCTATAAATATCATGTTTTTTGCTCATGCATATTTGCTTCAAGGTCGTGGATGACCCTCCAGCTCCATTGTGAGAACTGGTATGATCTCTTTATGAAGCGAAGCAAGCGCTTGAGCTTTTTCACTCAAGTATTTCTATAATCTTGAGCGAATCCCTGGGAGAATCAGCGAGTAGCTGGAGCCTGGATTGAACTAGATATTCCGTTGTTTCCCAGATGTTTCTGGGAAGATAAGTAGAATACTTTCTCGGTGGATCTCACACATTTTTCTGGCATACTGTAAACAGGAAATTCTATTATGCGCATCTATCTACTTCTATTAGCAATCAAGGTCTTCTGATGAGAGCAGAGTGTAGACATTTAACATAAATACAACAGGATGCACAACCGCCAAACCCGAAGCGGGAGATCTCTCCCCCCTAAAAAGTTTCATATATGTCGAGTATCTCACAGGGCATTGGGTGATTTGTTGACCTTAGACCGATACCGAATTTTATGTTAATGTCAGGTGCAGCGCTGAAAAATGTGGATTGTTGCGATGCCCATTACGTTTCTTGTTATTTCCTCCTGTGCCAGACAGGTAGTTCGAGGCTTGAACAGGACGCCAGAGTTTACAATCCTCCAAACCGCTTGAAGACGCAATAAGAACATCAGCAACTGTAGCTGTTACGACTTTGCCCTCTTATAATTAGAATTCCAGCCATATTCTCTCCACTTCCACTTTCACTTGCACCTCCAATATCCCACTCCAGCCGAACAACCACAACCAAATATCATTAGTGCATCTTTACGAAAGGTAATTCTCTCACCTCCTAATTTTATTTTAAAAACAATCTCCTCTCTTCTTCTTTTCCCCTAACACTTCCATTCCCTAACACCACTCGCCCATCCTCACCACTGTTGCATCCAAATCAGAACCATTTCTACAGGATCTAGATCTCGCTTGTATTCATCGTCCCAGGAAGGAGAATAAGAACGCAGCTAGAAAGGCATATACCGGTGCTTTACTATATATTGAGGATTTGAAGAGAGATAGATAATAACAGCATAAATCAATACCTGTCAATTTCTATTTTCTTACAAGTTCCAGATGGGGACAATGCGGATTATAGTATGTATATATTTCGCGCTTCGAGTTTGGCGGGTATGTATTTTGTTGCGTTTATGTTATATACGCCGAGGAGAGAATACTCAAGGAATATACCCATGAAAATGATCTAAAGTAAGAGTGCTCATAAGTGTGGCAAGCTAGGTATTTGCTGGTGCTATCTCATATTTGGGACCCTGTCCATACATGAAGAATCCTATTATAGCAAGACTGCAAATACGTGTATTCTTCCTTAAAATCGAAGGGACAGTAGATAATCTCTAGCATGGGACTTTAATAGGGAAAACAAATTAGGGGCTAGCCATATTGGGGAGATTTTGTGAAAATGAGCTCGAACGACAGTAGAATACCCATTGGCGAATTGACACAAAATTGAATGTGCAAGTTAAGATTTCATTTCATAGCATACTTTACTGAGTTGCTTCGTAAACATTGTGATGTGTTACCATCCTAAAACTTAAGTCAAAACCTTGAGCCATAGCTCGTAACAGCAAGCCATCATCGGCAACACCAAACACCTTCGTATACGCCGAGTAAAGAGAACTTAATGTGCTTTCAACCATGCCAAAATTTGATCGTATGCCTCAGCTTGTGCTTGCTTGATGTTCAATTGCTCGTAATCACCAAATACGGCAAACCCATGAGGAACTCCCGAATATGTCTTAAATTCATGTTCGATGTTGTTCTCATTCAGGTATGTCTTCCCAACTTCTTGAACGTCATCGGAAAACAATTGATCATCTTCGACACAAACAAATGCCAGTGGAACTTTGGTTCCTTCCCAATCCTCCTTGCCGACTAATGTTGCGTGAGCGATTGCGCCAGCCTTGATATACGGTCCTTTCTTTTCAACGGCGGCTTCCTCATCTTTCGCCGGTTGTTGACCCCAGTGAACGGCATCTGATTTCTCGCCTGCAAGTAACAAAGTCATTCTTCCACCTAAGCAATAGCCGACAGAATAGATTCCTCCACCATTCGCTACTGCATCTGCGAACTCGTCCTTTGCGGCTTCGATAACTTTATGGATAATCGGTAGAATCTTTTCGGGTGTTTGTCTTGCGAGCCACATGTCTGCCAAGAAACTCTTTGCTGTCTCCGCGGCGTGCATCTTCAACTTTTCAATCAAAGAAGGATCCTTATCTTCGGCATACGTTACGGAACCAGGCAATGGGTCGTTATGGAACATGTCCGGCATGATAACGAGGAAACCTTCACCAGCGAATTTATCGGCTTGAATTTGATTATTGACAGAATGCATGCCTGTAGCACCCGTAAGAAGTAGTAAGAGTTTCGATGGCGCATGAGGATATTCGCTGGGCTTGGAAATGTAAACGTCGACCCCTCCAAGTTGTGTAGTTTCTCCAGATGAACTTTGTCCGGCAGCTGTTTTCGTTAGTAATTGATTTCTGCATTTTCTAGAAGATGCAGAATGAATGCGCAAAAATACTAACGTGTTGGTCTATCCTTTACACAGTGCTCCTTGTAAAAGTTAGTAATATTCTTCCCATTCAGTGTCTCAAAGACGTACACCCAAACTCGCACCGCTTTGCGCTGGAGTATCCCCTGGAATCGGGCTTGGTTCGACTTGAGGAACCTCTTTTGAGTCCTCCATAGCATCGCTCTCTGGAGCTCTGGTAGCCGTCTCTTCAGCCATATTGTATGTAGTTCTGAATGTTTGTGGGATAATGTTGTTCTGTCAACAAGGAAATGTATCGACGATATTTGGGCACTGAAGCTTGGCGGCGGGCGGGAGGCCACGTGAAGAGGGGCGGATGATAAAGAGCGGGGAGGCTTCGTGTTAGCGTGATATAATTAGGCTGCTAGCGCGGCGAAGCACGTTCCAAGACGCGTGAAATTCTAAAATCAATTTACACGAACCGCGACTCATCGTCAGTAAGGAAAAGTTGACAAGTCAACAAATCAAATACTTGGTATACATTTATTTTCAGTAGACCCAAGAATAACAAAGTCGTTGATAATAATGGAAGTTGCAAAAGCTCAAATTACTCAAGGTGCATTGAAGTAAGTATTACATTCATTCAAACCGTCTTTCCATTGCTAATTCTTGAAAGTGCTATCTTCAATGATACTGATCGAGTAACAAAAGACTTTCCGGTACCAGTATGTCAGGTAGTACAAGTTAAACCTATGGGTGCGGGTGTAGATGGACAAGCCGAAAGATTCAGACTTGTCGTGAGCGACATCCAAAACTTTGTACAGTGCATGCTTGCCACTCGTAAGTAAAACTCATGTTCTTCTACTTAAACTTTGCGAGAGCTATTTAACTGATGGCGAATTAGAGGCAAACCATGTCATACACGACGGAAAGTTGACAAAAGGCTGCTTCATTCGTCTGAAGAACTATCAGGCGAATGAAGTCAAAGGAAAAAGGTTAGTAGACTTAGATGCCCTAATAAGAAGTCGGTGCCTAATGCTGCTCTTAGAATTTTGATTATTCTCGATATCGATGTCATCGAAAGCTTGGGCACTATGGAAAAGATTGGAGAACCAACCGCAGTCAAGGTCGAGGAGGACGTTAAGCCAGCAAATACTAGCATTGCCGGAAGTGGTTTCTACGGAAACAAACCCCAACCTCAACAGCCTGCAGCCCAAGATCGTGCACTCCCATCCCGCAACGGACCCTCTAGCTCCTCATCACACGCCACTATATATCCCATTGAGTCTTTGTCGCCATATGCCCACAAATGGACAATCAAAGCAAGAGTTACAAGCAAGTCGGATATCAGAACATGGTCCAAGCCGAATAGTGAAGGAAAGCTCTTCAGCGTCAATCTTCTCGATGAGAGTGGCGAGATTAAGGCTACGGGTTTCAACGAACAGTGCGATGCTTTATATGATATTTTTCAGGAAGGCAGCGTCTATTATATTACGAGTCCGTGTCGTGTTCAAATCGCCAAGAAGCAATTCTCCAACATAAATAATGATTACGAGCTTATGTTCGAACGAGATACTCTGGTAGAGAAAGCGGAAGACCAAGATAATGTCCCTCAAGTACGATATAACTTTTCCAACATTGGAGAGTTACAGTCTATTGAGAAAGACAGCACAGTCGATCTCATCGCTGTGCTCAAGGAAGTTGGAGAGATCTCAGAAATTACGTCGAAGACGACGAGTAAACCCTATAGCAAAAGGGAGTTGACATTGGTTGACGAGACTGGATATTCTGTACGATTGACTATATGGGGCAAGACGGCAACCTCTTTTGATGCCAGTCCAGAGTCGGTCGTGGCTTTCAAGGGTGTCAAAGTTTCTGATTTCGGTGGTAGAAGTTTGAGTCTGCTATCTTCTGGCTCGATGACCTTTGACCCAGATATCCAAGACGCACACAGACTCAAAGGGTGGTATGACTCCCAAGGTCGTACTTCTAACTTTGCCTCTCATAGCAATTTGGCCAGCGCCGGAGCAGCAGGAGGCCGCCAAGATCCCGTCAAGACCATCGCTCAAGTTAAGGACGAAGGTCTTGGAATGTCTGAGGAGAACACAGACTACTTCTCTTCTAGAGCCACCGTCGTCTACATTAAACAAGACAACTTCTGCTACCCAGCTTGTCTCAACGAGAACTGCAACAAGAAAGTCGTTGACCAAAATGATGGCACCTGGCGTTGCGAGAAATGTAATCAAAGCCATCCTAAACCCGAATATCGCTATATTCTCTCCTTGAACGTCAACGACCACACCGGTCAAATGTGGCTAACGGCATTTGACGAAGTGGGAAAACTGGTCATGGGAAAGAGTGCAGATGAGCTGATGGAGCTGAAAGAAAATGATCCACCAGCTATGGAGAGAGTGTTTGAGGATGCAAATTGCAAGATGATGACATTCAAGGTTCGATGCAAAACTGACACTTATCAAGATCAAGCAAGGTATGTCAATTCTGATCCCATACATATTAGTCTTGTGTATATGCGACTGACTATTACCACAGGGTCCGATATTCAGTCATTTTAGCCTCAGCTGTAAATTACGCTGCTGATGCTCTGAAATTGGCGGAGTTGATCAAGGCGTACAATATTGATTAGATGTATATGGCTTGACATGTAGTGATTATGGTCTGAGAAAAATAATGATGGCGTGGGAGAGGCAAGAGACTTATTATCAATCGCCATGATGAGTTTGATTATGGTACTTCACACTGTTTGGCGTTGCGCAGTCAATGCTCGTGTCATGTTTCAATATCATGATAGAGATTTGCACGAAGAATATGAAAAAAATATTACCACAAATAATGCATGTTTATTTGCTTGCTTACTTGCTTACTTGATTTAAGATTCATAGATTCATTTTCTCTATTTCATAGATTCATTCCTATCGTATCTTCATAAGACGCCACCTGCCCATACGCCACTGCTTTCGATTTCTTCGAAAGGCTTTACTGTGTATCACAACCCGTCCATTGCCTAGAGCAAACATCGCTTTTCGCGATTGATCCATGTCGCGTCTTCCTAAAGAAAGAAAACAAACCCCACTTTGTGAGGAACCACTAAATATTCTCGCTACACCTGAATTAAACTCACTATGTCTCCATCATTATATCCTCGTCCTCAATTATAGAGTTCCAGTCCAAAGGTTCTGCTGGTCCACCAGCGCTGGCAGCATTTTTCAGCTTCAACTGGGCCTTCTGAGCACTATCGATATATCGCTTGTCATGTGTCAAAACTCTATCCGTGACTTTGATTTGTTTGGCTAATGATTGGATACGTCGAGTCGACGCCACTAAATCATTTTGAACTTGGGTCTCCGAAAGGACGGGTCCGGTTGGCGAGAACGTAATGACTGCATGGCCAGATTGATCTCGAATCATAGTTGCAGGCAAAGTGCCTTCGGCGATCATGCTCTGTATAAGATCTTCAATCTGTTTGATTGAAGTCAACTTTGCACCAGTTTCTGCGCTCATCGTAAGACTCATGATATCTGCAGCTCCAATTTTCGAATAGACGTTGGCAAGATTACGGATCTGAAACTTTTGATAAGCAGCCAGAACACAGCAGATTAAACCGAAATTAGCATCATCAGACCATATTTGTCGACCAAATTCGGCCTCGCTCTTTAATCGTGCCGCTGATCCAGTTTCAAAGATACCGGCAATAGCTTCGTATGGTTTCGCAATAATGTGGTATGTTTTAGCGGCAGCCGCAGAAGTGGTTTTTGGAAGTTGGAGGACCTTTCCATATTGAAGAAGTCCAACGAGTAACCATTTTTTATATGCCTCGACCATGACAAGGCTCACGCTATTATCATTTGATGGATATATTATAGCATTCTCCAACATCTCCAATGCAGCGTCCCATCGTTGCAAACCAATATAGATTGATCCACTGAAATAAAAATACTCTAGAATCTCGAGAGGATTTAGTTTGGTGGAAAAGCTCGATTTGATTGTCACATAGGATTGTGCAGGTAGGTCGACTTCGCAAAGATAACGTGTGTATGAAACTGGTTGTTTGGCAGGTATATAAAGGATAGGTTTGTCAATAAGTTCTGTAATGGCAGCAAAATAACGTGTTTGGAGAGCCAATCGGACAAGATATGTATGGTTTGAGGTAAGGACCGATCCTGAGGGGTCGATTCGAAGTATGGCTTCCCGAATTGGGGGGATGGCAGCACCTGGCTATGCGAACTTTAGTATTATTTTTCTCCCATGACACAAGATATATTTCTACGCACCTGACGTTGTTCCGAAGCAACTTGCGCTACAAATTCTATGACATCTTGTATCTCTTTACCAAGGTATCGAATCTGCCTCTTATCGAAACTATGTAAAAAGGCTGTCGCCTTCTCCCATAAGTCATTGACGTTGATCCCCTTCTCGCCTTTATGAGCTGCGGCGATGTGGGCTCTTAGAACGTAGATGTATGGGACTGTATTTAATGAGGGGTTGATCACCTATAACGAACTTATCAGCTTATGCCCGACCACAATTTTGACTCTGCGCACATCTAAAGGACTTTCATCACCCGCAGTCGACTGTAACAATGTCTTATCGGAGGTCTTCTTTAAACTATCGATTTGTGATGTGATGCCAGTGTCATATTGCAAATCCGTGAGAGGTACCAAGGGCGCTGGATGAGGAGGAAACAAAAGCATGCGGGAGAGGAAATTGTCCATTCTGAAAGTAAAGTATGCGACCGGATAATGAGCGTTTGTGGGAAGTCACTCGATCGATTAATAGGTACACAGCTTTGAACTGATCTGGGATGGATGCCGTATGGAATAGATGAGGCTATCTCAAATTTGACTTCAGGAACGTCAAAGGTAGCTTTAGTATACTATCTTTGAGTCCCAATTCTATAGGTATCAGGTGAATTTGAGAGACGAAGTTGCGAGAGGCTGCGATGTTGCCTTGGAGCTTCTGGAGCTCCCACTTGTTTGTGGGGTTGATACACGCTAGCGGCCGTCTGCTCCGGTCAAAATCACGTGGTATCAAAATTTCCAGAAATCAGTCATCGCATTTAGGGTGGAACAAAGGCATTCATTGTCTTGTTATCAACACTTCGTCGAGTAAAAGTATAACACCTTCTTGAATTCTTGACAAAGTTTAAGTGTTGTAGCCTCGAATTATCTCTTCTAAAGGCCTCCGTCTTTTTTTCTTCTTCGAATTTCGCAAATCCCCATGTCTCTCACAAACGCAACCCCAGCAGAAGCTGCGAGCGGGGCTAAAACTGCTTCTCACGTTCTAGCTACACTTCCAACAGCCTCTAGAAATGCAGCTCTGACGGCTATTCATGATGCACTTCTACAAAATAAAGCAGATATTCTAGCAGCCAATGCCCGAGATCTCGAATTGGCTCGAAAAGAAGCCAAAAGTGGTCGTTTAAGCTTAAGTATAGTCTCGAGATTGGATTTGGGAAAGAAGGGAAAATATGAGGATATGTTGAAGGGAATTCTGGATGTCAGAGATCTTGACGACCCTGGTATTGACAAATTTTCCTATAAAGTGAATGAGCGCTGATTATTTCATACAGTTGGAAAAGTTACATTGCGAACACGACTTGATGATGGTCTAGATCTCGAGCGAGTGTCGTGCCCTATTGGAGTCCTTCTGATTATCTTCGAGGCACGTCCAGAAGTCATCGCAAATATTGCCTCATTAGCAATCAAATCTGGAAACGCCGCCATCTTGAAGGGTACGACAAAACATTCATGCAGTCGTTCAAATGAAAGCTAATGTTTTACAGGTGGAAAAGAATCTACTGAATCTTTCATTGCCATCTCTACGGTAATCTCAGCAGCTTTACAGTCGACAGAAGTTCCTGCAGCTGCGATCCAATTAGTTACCACCAGGGACGTAATTCCTCAATTATTGGCATTGGACCAATATATTGATCTCGTTATCCCAAGAGGTTCGAACGAATTGGTCAGATATATCAAGGAAAATACCAAAATTCCAGTCATGGGTCACGCAGATGGCCTTTGCTCGATATATCTTGAAAAAACGGCTGACCCAGCAATGGCAACAAGGGTTATCGTTGATTCGAAAACTTCATATCCAGCCGCATGCAATAGCGTGGAGACTTTACTCGTTGAGCAAGCAGCTCTCGAGACAATTCTCCCCCAAGTTGCAGAAGCGCTATTAGAGAAGGGCGTTTGTCTACTATGTGATGCTTCGAGTAAATCAGCTCTTACATCAAGACTTCCTTCTGATCAAGCAGTACGCCTCGAAGATGCAGTTGAAAGTGATTTCGACACGGAGCATTTATCCCTTGTTCTTGCCATCAAAACTGTTTCTAATCTCAACGAAGTCATCTCACATATCAACATTCATGGTTCTCATCACACAGATGTGATACTCACGTCATCTTCTGATCTCGCCGAGCGATTTATGGCTGGCGTTGACTCAGCAGGAGTTTTCTGGAATACCTCCAGTCGCATGGCTGATGGTATGCGCTTTGGCTTCGGTACCGAAGTAGGAATATCAACAAACAAGATCCATGCACGGGGACCAGTCGGTTTGGAAGGTCTTATGATCTACAAATATAAAATTCGCGGCAATGGTCAAATGTCCGTTGAGTATGGTGAGGGAGAGGGTCAAAAAAGGTTTAAGCATGAAAATCTCTCGATATAGTTTACTTATCGCATCATAAAAGGTACTCATGTTTGCAAATCCAGGCGTATATCTTTCTTGGCGCATTCGCGTCCTGTACATTTTTGATTGTTGATACTTGAGGTGTCTGAGAAACTTGAGACGAGCCCATATACATGGATTTGAACAGTTGAACGTGTGATAGTGTGCGTCTCTTCTCTTCGCCTTCTTAAACCTCCAAGAATTTGGCCCAAACACCATTTCCCCACTTATCCTGTCACGGTATCAACTTCCTCTCATCTCTTGGCGTATCTATCGGTACTACCTTCCCAAACCCGCCAATCTCTTGGGTTTCGTCTTGAAAAGTCAATATTGTTTCCGGGATCTCCTCTTAAGCTTTATGCAATTTTTCTTTGAATTCTTCCAAGTGGATTGACTGGTGGGTACGATCTCGGTACGCATGTGCATGCTCGGTAACTTAAAACGAACGACCCCTGAAGCCCCTTGACACAAACCATGTAACAAGATCACTTTTACCCAATAATACTCAATTCTTGGGATGACGTTTTGATGTTTCCCATATCATCTTTCGGTGGTCAAGCTTTTCTACCTATGTCTTTGAGATATGTGAATCTGAAAATATGGGGGTATTAATCTGTTTGTCACTTATAAAGCATCGAGCGTTACTGGACCCTCCCTTGGCGTTTAAGCTTAGAGAGGAAGATTGTTTAAAATCTGAGCTTCTCCCGTGGATTTTTGATGGCTACGGCCGGCCGCGGATTACTTCAGGGAAGAGTCTTAGATATTTTCAATTCGATCAAGTTGTAATATTTTTTGAGAAAATAATTTTGAAAAGGAAAAGTTGTCGAAAGAAAAATGTTGTTTTCTAATTTATTTATGATGGCGGGATTGGGGGCCGTTGTCTCTGCGAGGGCGGTTGAGAAGAATGAACGTAAGTAGTTGGCGAATTTCTGTTCAGTCCAGCTTCTCTTCAATTGATAATTCCTGGGACTTTCCTCCCATTTACAAGACATCAACAGTATAACCAGAAGCTAACAAATTTATTTAGGATCATTTCAACGACCCATGAATGACCCCTCATTACCTCGTCCAACTCCCTCCTCTCCTCAATCCTGCATTTTTAAGCCATCTCTTCCAATGCCACCGGTCTCCTTCACATCCACTCTACCCACATCTCTTCATCATCACCTCCCGAATGTCCTCCTCTCTCACTCATTCTTCAACTCAAACCTACCAACTTCTTCTGGCTCCACCGCCCCCATGATCTCGACTCTTTCTCTTTCCGAAGTAACGGGCGACTCCTCTCTTCAAGGGATCTTCCTCGGCCTCGTCTACACTTCCATCGACAAATCTACCTCTGAGCCTCCTCCTGACTCTCTTCCCAAATCTCAAGTATCAAAACCAAAAGTAAAGCCCCATTGCCGCCCTCAATCTCCCAAACCTAAAGCGGATGAACAAGATGATTTCGACAAGTCATGGGGCCATATCAATAATCACGAGATTCGATCGCCGATTTTGTCAGTGCCGCAGTCAAGCCCGTCTACGGAGATGAGAAGGTGTTTCACCGAGGCGGTGGAGGGAGTTAGGGAGAGTGGGTTGGTGGAGGGGACGCTGAAGTTTCCTAAAGAAGGGGGCAAATTACGATTTTTGATTTGGAGGGTTGATTGAATGGTATAGGTTGGGTTGAGAATATTTCATTCTGGTGGGATACTTTTTTTGTGAACAGAGGATATAGCGAATGGATAAGGGGCTGGAGATTCGAATGTTAGAGGCGTTAAAGGCTGGATTGGAGTTCGGGCATTCATGTCATCCCTTCCATTTCAATTTATATGATGTGCACGGGACAAAGCGAGATGAACTATGATGAGCAATCTTGTGTAATTGTTAAGCGCCTCGAACAACTGCTGGGAAATGAATTACCTCATGGACTTTGCACAAACTGTTACTAGACATATAGTTTGTGTCCAAGGAAGATATAAATGAACTTCACACTGTACCACGATAGGGACAACAATCCAAGGCTTCACTTCCGATGAGTTACCATTAAACTTTCGTAAGTAAATATATACATACGGTTACCAACCGTCAGTACTTGATCAGGTTGAGAAGAATTAGAAAAGTCTAGACAGATCAAAATGAACGAGGAAAAAGATCAAGTCTCGATAATACAACCCATATTAGAATAAGATTGAAGTAGACAGACAGTTAGCCGTGAAGTTTTTTTGAACTAATTAATCCACTAGTTCTGTATTATTATCTCCTTCGCTACTCGCCTAAGATCCACTCGCTGCTTGCAATCCTCGAATATCTCATTCTTCGCTCTATAGATGTGCCATGTGACTTCTGTTTGAGAATAGAATGCAAGAATAAAGGCGGGGCAATGCCAGAACTATGATTCAAGATAGGATTAAAGCAATGAATCTTCCTTGTCAAAAATCTCTAACTGGGCGGTTTCTTGACTCGGTGACGTATCAGAAAATGAACAAGCTTGTACTCGCTTCGTCAAACAATGCCGGGTTGTGATTTACTTTGCGAATTCTTAGAGCCTGCAACAGGATTCAATAATGACAACTACATGCGTACACACGTCGTCTAAAATGAAATAACGCGATTACTTTGACCATCGCCCATCATCATCATCACCGTCTATCTCATTTCACTATCACTTGCTCCACTATCACGCTCCTCTCCACAAATCTCAATCCAACACCCTTGCTATCTCGACGTTCGAATCTTTGATCTAATTCATAACATTCACATTGCAGGGCAAAAGAGATCCCCTACGCTTTGTTGGAGTAACTGGAGGTATTCCTATCTAATCTAATAGCTAATTTCATACCTCTCCCAAACTCATGAGGAACAGATACTGATATACAGACGATTATCTGTGAGGCTTCGTGAAAATCAAAGAGATTGGGGGAGGATATGCACTAGCTTCCTCAATTTCTTCCCACTAGAAGAGAGTTCCAATCTCGGAACTCGTAGTGGGCTCGGGTGAGGCTTGTCACTTGTGCATATTGGTGGTTGTGGTTGCTTCTGCTGGTATTAGGTACTGGGTGCTGGGTGCTGGGTGCTGGACATCAAATGGTGTACAATTGGCCAGAGAGCGGTAATTATATAAAAAGAAAAGAAAGAGGGAAAGAACGGATATTTTTCATGAGAGGAGATGGGAAAAAAGAAGTTTGAACAGAGATGAGCTTGTAAAACTTCTTGCTTCCTCTATTGCCTCTCAGTAGACGAGTTCCACCGCTGTAGCTTCCACATGTTTTCAAGTACATCGTATACCCTCTTCCCTTTCCCTCTTCCTCTCAAATACCAATAAACCCATAACCTCAACTTCCACTTTCAACTCATTCCAACTTTTTCACCAGTCTCCTATTCATATATCCAGTCGCCCTCAAAAACCAAGAAATTCTCAAATAAACTCCCCTATCCACTAGAATTTCTCACGCTTCGAAGTTCGAACCCCGATTCTCGATCCTACTTCTTCCTCTTTCCACTCTATCAATGTATATTTAAATACCGATCCCCTTTGCAGGATTTCCCACGCAGCAATCAAACAGAAACCCCGTACAATATCTAAGAACCATACAATCCACTGATCAAATCCTCAAGAACGAAGATTTAGCATATCCCGAGAGACGATTTCAAGCTCGACGTAGGCACATACACAAAGAATAGAACTTAGAAGCGACCCCTAAGTTCTAACTAAACGAAAAGAGAGACAACATCATCGGCATCTAGTCTACTAGATATATCTCCAGTTACAATTGCCACAACAATCTCCGAGAATTATCAGGAAATGAGCAAATGATGATTTTATGGAAAGATGATAATACCCATCTAACCGTGTGCGTTGTCATTTCATCTGTAGCATATATACTGGTATAAGATCATAAAATTATAAACACAAAACAATAAATTCTCAATCCACAATCTGAGACCTAAATTACCTAAATACATTACACAGATTCTCCAAATCCACAAATACCAAAGAGTACATCTCACCTATTTATCCGTCTTTCACAATACCTCCAGATCAATGAACACCCTGAAAATTCACCACAACATAACATCACCCAAACCCCCAGATTCTCAGAAAAGTAAACAAGAGTATTCGAGTAATTCTTAAAACTCTGATCCTTCCTTCCTCCCTTCGCTTACACTTACCTACCTATCTAAAGTATCCTTACTTCCTTGATACCGCATTTCAAAACCTCCATAGATACTCAGAAGAAGTAGGACGTGATATTCACATCCACCTACACAGTTACCATTTACGTTCACCTACCCACCCCCGCTGCCGCCTCGCTTCTTCCATTCAATCTAGTCCTCACCATCTCACTTCCATCTCACTTCCACTTTCGTTTTACCTCTCGAAAACAAAAATACCCCACCCGGGGCCATTCATCTCCATTCATCTCCATCCGCGAATCATCCATCCATCTCCTTTTAACATATCAACATATCAACACATCAACATATCAACACATCAACATATACATTCTCACTGAATAATTTTGCGCGCAGCCTCCTCTCCTCTCATCTATCTTGACACCCTTACACATTGACATCTATATACCTCCTTCCTATTAACATCAACACTCCAGATTTCTCATCTCTATACACCCATCCATCCATACCCCCCTCCCCTCTCCTCTCCTCCCCTTCATTTCCATTTCCATTCCATCCTCATCTCATACACATCTCCCATTCTCAACCCCCTACACGCAACCCGCGTATCACACACATATCACATCCTACACCCTACATACAGTACATCCCAAACACCATCTATGCCTCCCCTCTCCCCTCTCCCTCTCCCTCTCCATTCCCAGCCATACCCATCAAAGTTCAAACGGCGAACCACACAAGTTAGCCCACCTATCCTATTCTCCCCCCTCCATCTAAATCACACATCTCGTTCCTGATTCCTCACCATCATCCTCATCCTCATCCTCATCCTCGCCCCCACACCCACACCCACACCCACACCCACTCTCTCATCTCATCTATCGTCTCCCATCTTCAATCTCCCCATATACATATTCATTATACATCACTCAACCATTCATTTCAGAGTCAAGTCAACTATACATAGATGCATCCATACATCCATCTATGAGAGTATAGATTACAAACATCACAAAAAACCAAGTAAAATCTTCATCTCCATTTTCATTTCCACTTGGAGTTATCCCACAATGTCATCCCATTATCCCGCATCACTTTTCAAATCCATTGCCTCACATAACATTACATCAAAGACAAAAGGAGAATTCACATTTCACTCACATCATCACATCAAATCACACATCCTCATAATTTCCTCTGAAGAAAATATTCATCAACAACTTTTAAATTTTTGTATCTTGTTCAGTTCAGTTCCAGTTGAATTCCAATAATACCCCCGAACCTATCCATTCATACCATCCATCCATCTTCATCGTAAAGTCATATCATTCAACCATTCCCATTCCATTCATCCCGATCACCGTTAACCCATTTGCGTCTAGAATTAGTTACAAAACATTCAAGCTTCGCACCTTTTCCACACATTCCATTGATATGGCGTTCATCCATTGGGATAATCATCATCCCACGGTAGAATCCATTTCATCCCCTCCCCCATCAAGCCCAAGAAAACTCACAACTGCAACAACTAACAAGATAAGCAAGGAAATGGTCATAAATCATAATAATAATGTGTGTAAACGTTAAGCTCAAGAAGAGCTCAACAAAAAGCAAAGAAACCAGAAGTCGGTCCAGGAAAGAAAAGCCGAAAACATTAAACAAAATTATTATCTGTTCAGTGGTCCAGTTTTCCTTCTCTATTCATCCTTCCCGACATCATAAGAAAAATATTGAGACAGGTTCCTCGGCGCTGTAAATATCGAATAGAAAATGGCCCCATTCATTATCTTGGTCGTCCGTCTGAACGAAAGCAAATCATTTAAGCCTTTCCCATGGACGAAAAACACAAAAAGCCCAAATCCCAAATATTTCATGTCGACGCCTAGAGTGTCATTAATAGGCGTGTTTCGTTTTTTAGTTCTCGAGTGTAAAATGAAAAACCCCAAGTAAATAAATCCCGCTTGCATGTGTATATCTTTGGGATCATTTCTCAACAGATTATTTCCTCTCCCATGTTTGCATAGCGTAAATTCGTTAAAGCCGTTTCGATGATCCACATTAGGGTCATCTAAAAATTTCAGTCATAAACTCATCGTCATTCCAGGTTCAAATAATTTGCTGAATCTATGTTCGGCGAATACAAAGACAATCGTGAAGATAAAAAAGAAATTTTCTTTCAAAGAGTGTGCTTGTGATTGTCGAGAATGCTTTTGTGGCGCGAGCCAAGAATAAAAAAAAAACAGTAGATCATGATGAGAAAGATCAGATCACTGGAAGAAAGTGCAAAAATATGCGTCCAAAATCATCGATTCGAGTTACCGGCGTCTTTGAGCAATGGTCGATTGAGCTCGGTTGAGTCCTGGATTGTAAGATGGTCCAGAAACTGAACCCTCACGGATCGTTTTACGTCTCTTCAAGCCATCAGCATCGGCCATTCCTGGACCTCTACTGGATGGTCGACCATCGTCATCATCATCTCTGCCACGCTTGTTACTCCCAGGGGCACCATTCATGATATTTTGCTGACCGGCATAACCATTAGACATTGAAGCTCCAAGATCTGATTGTGGTGCGTAAACGTCACCACCTGTGCTGCCATTAGCTGTACCACGTTCTTGACTGACGACATTATACAAATTACTCGAAGGTGGTTGGATTCGCGGAGGTGTACTGTAACCACCTTGCTGTTGAGCATAGTATGTTTGTGGTGCCGATGCCGTTCTAGGAGTTGCTCGTCCGGAAGCTGGATTATTTGGTGAGCCAGTCATCTCTGGTGACAAATGGGTGTGTTCACCTGTTATTGATCCTACGGCTGGGCCATTCGAGTAATTGTATGGCCGACGACTTGAATCGTAGTTACCCTGGCTGTCATGAGTGTATTCACCGCCATCATGATCTTGATCATGCTCTTCCTCAACTTGGCCATTTCCTTGGTGATGAATCATTCCATTTGAATCCTTTGGTTCATGATGTTGGGGCTCAGCGTCTGGTGCTCTCGCCAATGGTGGACCCATTTCATTCTTGATGTATGAATTTGGCTGTTGCGAGTATTGAGGCATGCTTTGTTGAGGTGGTGGAGCCTGGGCGTAAGCATTCTGTGGCGGGGGTGCTTGGGAGTACATCTGTCTCGAGTCGTAAGGTTGTTGAGTTTGTTGATATTGTTGCATCGATTGAACCGCAGTTCCGGGAGGAGTGGTAGCTGGAGTTGTTGGCATTGAGCGAGCATTACTTAATCCAGTGTCAATTGACAGGGGATTGGTACCTTGCACATTGCCCATGGATTGCCCAGGCCACTGAAAATTGCCGTTAGAATTGTCCATACTGCCCATTACACTAGATGCACTTGTGGGAGGGGTGGGGAATGTGTGTGATCTTTCGAGAGCAGGACGACCAACATTTGGATGAGGAGCAAGGGAATGCTGTGGACCTGGAAGGGGAGCGCCAATTGAGTTAGCCATTGAGTGATGGTGATGTTGGTGTAATGAAGGCAAACCAGGTGCTTGTGGGTTCCGCATTTGGTTTTGCTCATTCTTTCGACGTTCTGCGGCTGCCATTACTGCATTCGTTCGTGTCTGATTCGTTGGGTGGTACAAAAGAGCGCCAATATTGTGAACAAATAGAGGATACAATAATTCCGTAATCTTTTCCTTGTTTGCAAAATCCAATGCACGCTCAAAAGGAATCCTAATATTTTGGTTAGATATGCACGTGCACCTAAGCTGTCAAATTTTGCTTACCAAACACCCTTTAAATGCATAGGACCGATTTTCACAACGTGTCTCATTTTTTCACTCTTCAGGATACCATCTCGTCGTCCACGAGTCATACCTGCAACGTTCAACAATTTCGTGCCATTAATCATGTGATTATCTTGCCTAGTTAGCACAATTTGATTGAATTGAGAGAGCCAAGCTTACCTTCACGTCTAGCCACGCAAACACCCTTTGCCTCTACTTGAAAGCACAAACTACCCTCATCTTCCCAGAGGGTTGCTGTCACTCTGGGCTTCATTCCTGGTGGGGCAACCTGGCCAGTTTGGTCAAATTGTTGTGGTCCACCATAACCTTGGCTCGGCATGCCAGGTTGAGTGGTCATTGCTGGAAGTGGTAGAACGTTGCCTTGGCCACCCATTGACCCGGGAATTTGAGCCGATTGCGGGGATTGAAGTCCATTGCCATAGTATTGACCGTATGGTGCTTGCTGCGCGGGGGGATAATGTGGGGGTCCAGGTTGAAGCAGAGGTGGCTGATGTTGAGGATATTGACTCAATGCACCGGATGTGGCAGTCTGGGGTGGTGGTTGTTGACCAGCCGACATGTGTGGAGGATAATACATATCTTGAGGACCGTGATTCATGTTGTTTTGATATGGCTCTTGGCTGTAAGAGTATGCTGGGTTTGAAGGTGGTGTGCTGTAAGATCCCTGAGGTAGAGAGACAGGTAGACCACTGCTAGCTTGAGTGGGAGAAGGGGTTTTGGGTCCGTTTGAGGAACTCGCTGTGGTATAAGATGAATGAGAACCTCCGTTCAAGATTGAGGAAGATCCAAGTGAGCTAAGTGAACCAACCCGGGGAGATGAAGTACCAGACGAATATGCCTGTTGCGGCGGTGGCAAAGGCAGAGCGGGCAACCTTTCATTCACGTACAGAGGTCGCTGCGCGGCGTGATGATTGTAATATGGTACTTCGGAAGGCCCCCGGGTTTGCACTTGCGATATCGACGGAAGATCCAGTTTTTCGGTTGGAATGATCAAGTCCTGAAAGGACAATGATCTGGCAGACTCAATAAAGGGTCTTCCGAGAAGAGATGTAGAATTTCACGTTAGACGACAAGATTTAACTTGTGGTCTATTCGCGTGTGCGGGTAAAATGGGCAACTTTTTTTTTTGGAGAAAGATGAAAGTTGCTGAACCAAGGATGGAAGAATGATGCTTGGGTATATTGACAGGCTATCGTCAATGTGAGAAATCAAAACAGTCACTGCTTTTACAACGAGCGCGAAAGTAATAGGTCGTTTATTTTTCGTGAAAGAAGATGCATATGCCAAAGATGCAGAAGCAGAAGGATCTTGTAAAACCTCAAAAAAGACTCGAAAAAGAAGACGTTTGGCTCGTAGAAGTCGTTACAAAAGGACTTGAAGCTTTGTTAATCCAATTGAGGTGCGATTGAAGCTCCACGACAGGATCGTTGGCAGTTACGCGAACCTGCAGGTATGTATGCTTGTGCTTGTCGCTTCTTTGGAAGGAATCTGATCCGTGCTTAGATTCGAGGATGCGAACGTAAAAAAAATCGTGAAGCTCGTAGAATATTTCGCGGGATAGAGAAGATTCAAAGTGCAGTGGAGTTTACTGTGCAAGAGGCGTGATGTGTACTTGTGGATAGGCTGTATGTCGGTCAAAAGAATCGAGGATATTTGCCAACTCTAATGCAGGTACATCAGTCAGCGCTGCAGCAATTGCTATGAGAAACGATGCGCAAATCTACACGATGGGTGGTGAATGGGGGAGGTGGAGGGACGAGGTGGATGGAGAGAAGCGGGAAGCACTGAACATTGAAGATTGAGCATTGGAACAATGAGGTACATACCTTTTGTTTGAACTTTTCTTGGATTTTCCTTTTTTTCCTTTTCGTTTTCCATGCACCTCTTTGAGGTATAAGAAATGGGGAGGTCGGAAAAGGGAGGATGAGAGAGTGGATTGGAGAGTTTTAAAAAAAAAGGCGCGGAGGGAGAGAAGAATAGCAACGAGGGAGGAGGTTGGGCGGTGGTGATGTGTGAGAGTGAGTGGTGGAGGTGGGTTTGTGGAAAGTTTAAGGGTATTGGTTGAACAGGATAGTCTTAACGAGAGTGTATGGGTTGGTGAGAGTAGCTATAGCCGTAGCCGTAGAAAAATAGATTGAATGGATGAGGTAAGGTGTGTCAAAGTGGTCAAGGTATGGGTTGAGTGTTTTGAGGTAGTAAGGTAGTAATCGAAGTGGGTGAGTAGAGTGGAGCAGAGGAGAAATAGAGGAGAGTAGTTAAATTTAAGTGTAAGTGTAGAGTGAGTAGAATGAAGTAATAAGTGAAGCTAGCTGGGAGGGAAGCTAGCGCATGAATAAATAAATAATAAATAAAATAATAATAATAATAATAATAATCAGAATCGTGATGATGATCAAATTTAGATAAAACAGCCAGAGATGGAGAAGAAGTTTATCTAATTAGTCGTTGATGACGAGAGGAGGTCGATGGGTCGATGAATAGATAAATAGATAGATAGATGAATAGATGAATAGATGATTGAAGAGGAGGAGGAGGAGGAGGAGGATAATGTAAATAGATAATCTTTAATGTCGATAGATAGTCAATAAAAGAGTAGAGACATGCAATACAAGAACAATGTTCTTCTTGTTCTCTTGTTCTGCGTGTGCCTATGTCTCTTCTTCTCTTTTCCCTTCTTTGCCTTGGCTGGCTGGTCCTTGTAGAAGATGCAATGTTTTGGTGTGTAGTACAGTAAGGAAGAGTGGAAGCGTGCGGGTGGAATCGTTATGAAGGGTTATGAAAATAAAGTGTTCGATTTCTTGGTGGACCTGATGGTAAGATAATGAATGATAATGGTAGTGGAGACAGTCTTCAACTTGTTTCCCTTCTCTTGATTTGTGGAGTGAAGGGGTGGTGGAGTGGAGTTGAAATTTGGAGTTGTTGATTCTTGTCTCTCTCTCTCTCTCTCTCTTTTCGAGGCGTTCTGAGGTTTCTCTTTCCTTTCTTAGATGCTTTCTCCCTCTCTTCCTCACCCTCTTCTCAGTTCAATTGGTTGATACAATACTGTTCTTCTCTCCCTCTATCTCTTCTGCTGTTTCTCCCTCTTTCTCTTTCTCTCTCTCTCTCTCTCTCAAAGTCTCAGACTCTCAGTATTTACTGCCCTTTGGTGTAAACTTTGGATCTGGACTGGGTACTTTCGAAAGTGGATGTTTGAGGCCGTAGCGATCCCGGAATGAAGCTAAGGGTGGTGTGGACGTGTGAATATGTGAACACCACAGCGCCCAAATATCTTGCGCTAAAGTAGGACTTTTCTATACGGACGTCGGAAGAAGCGAATGAGCTAGAGTGAAGTTTAATCTTTGTTGATGAGAGAGATCATGTTCAAGACGCTTGTTTACATGATGTTTATATGATATTTACTTGAAGTCTGGGATTCATAATGATGTGACATGATATGGTATGATCTCAGCGGTTTAATCTGGTTTAATCTGGGTTAATTTGGTTTTACTCTGGTCTGTTCTGGTGTATAGGAATGAAGGACAATTTGACTCTCATCCAAGTCTGCTGCTGCTTCTGCCTCTCACGGCTCCATCATCATACTTCACTGCCATATCATCCAGATAAAGTTTCCACTTTTAGTTTAACCTTTGCATAAGAGATATCATTTTTCTTTCCATTTCTTTCCCTTCCCTTCACCTCACGACTCTCTTCTCCTCTGGGCCAGATCCTAGTCAAGCTTCACTCGAGGATCCAAGAGGCGATAACTACAACCTTACCTTACCAGCCTTCCTTGTAAAACATTGATAATAAATTGTAGATAATAAAAAGTTATCGCTCGTTTTCTGCCATATTGCTAAATTAGCGTGGACATTAGAGTTTCTTAGTTGGGTAGTAGTTGTCTCCCTAGTCGTCCCTAGTCGATCTATCATCTATCTAATGGGCTGCGTCGCTCCTCCGAAAGATCAAAGCTCTTTCTTTCTTTCTTTCGCATCCATCCATCCCCTAGTACATCGCGCCAATTCTTAAACCTTGTACAAAAACTGGGGTGGTTGGACAGCACAATGGTTGTTACTCTAAACGAAGGCTGCGAGGATTGGTCCGACCGAATTAGAAGAAGAAGAAGAAAAGGGAGGAACGCAACGAGAGAGAAGTAACAGGTGAGCGAGTGAGTTGACTGAGTGAGGTGACTGAGTGACAAGCCAACAAGTGGCTCAATTATACATCCTAGACCCGGTACCTACCTAGACATGATCCAATCTTGAACCTCCTTCTTAGATAGTTGAGGTTTATGAATTTATGAATACCGAATATCCTACAATACGAATTCTTATGTTGATATTCCAAACCATCCTGCATACATATGACACCCAGAGATACCGATTCAGTACCATCCACGTCTTTCTTCAATACCTAGGTACCGGTACATTAATCATGGTTACCCGTAGTGCTTGGTGTTGTTGTACTTTTTACTCTATTTTGCTGCGTTGGTTGTGTTCGACTTGTATCGTGGGGTATCTCGAAAATGTGAACGTGATAGCTCTTAATCCCTACCTTTGTCTGCTCTACGTGCCGAGTACATCGTACCTTTTACCTATCGAGGACTAAATCATCACGGACTTGACAAGAGAACATGATACAAACAATGAACGGACAAAAGATGCGAGGTGGCAGTATGGGGCCAATCCATCCATCAAAAGTGGCAGAGTCGCAGAGTGGCCGTGACCGTGGCCCATGAGTTCTGGCCGCTTGAAAACAATGGATACCAAATACAAGGATTCGGGAAAGGCTGGCTGGTTCTCGATTGAGAGAAAAAAAAGAAAGGAAAAAAACAAGTATGAATTGAAACGAGGGTTTTTAATGTGTGATCGCTGACGGCCCAGTGATGATTGGATGATATTGATAGCAGCCGTTCCGGTCCCCAATTATCCATGGTGATCAATTAACTGGATGAAATGAATGTGAGGGAGGACGAGGACGAGGGAGAGGAAGAGTTATTTTTACTTTCCCCTTCCGATGCTTGTGTTGAGAAGATGGTGTTGGTGTTGGTGGTGTGGTCGTTGGTATTTTTATTATTGTTTTTTTTTTTTACCTGACGCCGATGAAGGGGCAGTAATGGTGTTCAAGTCTATTCTCCTGGTGGGTGAAGGCGGGGATGTGAATGTGAACGTGAATGTGAATGTCATCGTGAATTGCTCTCGACTTCTTCCGAATCCCAAAGGGAATCCGATCAGAATATGAAATATCGATGCCTACCTTACCTACTTACACTGACACAGTAATGAATTGCACAAAAGAGATGTTCAAATTCGGATGTAAAGAAAGGCTGCTTTAAGCATACGCAGGATACCTTCGGATCTTCGCCTTCTACGGTAGCTGATCTGTTCTTCAAAATCCTAGACGAAACCTTTCAAAACGAAAAAAGAAGATGAAAAAAAAAGTGGCCAGGGCAATGATAAGCCGCTTGAACCCAAGAAAAGACGGAACAGCGATGGTGATGATGAAGGTGATGATGATCTGATGCGAGTGTTTGCTGGTGGGGCATCTTTTGTGGTGGTTCACAGTTGAGTTGAATCAAATCAAATCAAATCAAATCAAATCAGATTAATACCGGTACATGGATGATGGAGAAAGTGGCGAGCCCGTTCTTTCTCTTCTGTCTATTCCTACATCCGAATTATGATGGATGATCTTGCTTGACGAATGGATCTCACATACCATACCGCATTCAATGTTAACCAGGGAATTAACTTTCTTCAACAGCCATCCAAACTCACTCCAAGCATTCTTCTTTGCATTTGAACCTTGCCTTACCGATCAAGCCTGCATCGCATTACCTGCTGCAACGTTTTCCCTCCTGGCGGCGGCGGCGTAGACGTCTCCTTCCGTAGCTAAATGAAGACATCCTGTGTATCTATTGTATATTGCCCTTTCTCAAAGAACCCCCAACCCTCAACCCCCAACCCTCAACCCCCAACCACATCATACACCACACACTACATTGTACATACCTACCACCTACGACCTACACCTTGCTGCCGCGCAAGAAAAGTTAAAATTGAGCTGAGCCCTGGCAACCATTCCATTATTGGAGGGGCCGAAATGCACTCCAGACTTTTTCATTCAGAACGAAAGCACCGTGCCCCAATTCTGCACAGATTCGTTCTGCACATTTCCGGGAGCGAGATGTACGGAGGAAGGAAAGTGATGAAAAATTCCTATCGGAAATTTTATGCTGATGCTCATGCTGGTGCTCATGCTCACCATGCTTATACTTCACAAATGGCTCATGCTTCATGCCCATCCAATTGTCCGACCTGTGTCCTGTGCGGTGGCTGGGCTTGATTCTTTCAAGCTTGATCGCTGTGCTGGAAGGGAAAGGGTTCGGTAGGTTACTGCGATGCACTCTACAAGCTTGTTCCGCCTGCAAGACGGGATCTCCTGCTTTTGCATATCGTTTCTCTTTGATCCCGTCCCCCCTTTTTTACTACGGTCTATCCTTGAAGGCAGAATAGCTTGAGCTTCAAGCTTGCTTGGAAGTTGGAGCTTGAGCTTGGGTCATCAATATCTCGTGGATATGAAGGCAACACCAGTCACCAGTGCACAACAACACCCCATCGAGGACCACCACCACACAGTGGCACATATGCACAGATGGGAGATCAATGGTACTGCCGGCATAGCATGGCATGGCATTGACAAATACTACCTAGGTAATAACATTGAAATTATGTAACGTAACCCCGTGACCTCTTTAGTATTAGTATTTGATGAGACCAAGCATTCATGTATTCATTCATACAGTGCTAATTTTATCTATAAACTCTAACTTCTAACCTCCGTATCTACCGATGAGAAACACGAGCCGCTGAACCAGTCCCAACCGCCGTCTTCTTTGCATAAAATTTGAGAATCTTCCGTTCCTTATCACGACATTTGCCAGATCTGCCACCAGCGCGATCGCATGTCTAGCTTCGAGCGCCTCATGAGCACTACTTTCGACTTTTGTGATGCACTGGTTCTCGGACTTTTCCAGCCTTTTCATCATATCCTATTCTCCTATAAGTCCTTGATCATACAGCATCTGAGTATCATTATTCCTATTGCGTTCTTTGACACTGTCTGAACTACTCGGCGGTATGCTCCGTTAACAATGCTCCGTCTTCCGTGTGAATATCTCGTAGATAATGCGATGCGTTTATCGGTTACACATGCGTTAATTACCTAACCCCTTCATGATTGCTCATCCCTAACGAGAATGTCCGATAATTCACGGACTGATCGGAGCGAGCCTTGGATTTGGTTGGGATCACTAAAATGGCTAGGTTTGGCTTAGCTTTAGCTAAATGATATCTAGGGTCATACGCCACGGGAATTCGTTTTTACGACTCATGGAATATATTCCTCCCCTTAGTCTCCTTTACTAGAAGGGAGACCCTAAGATTTAGTGGAAAGGGAAGTACGGGACAATTTCGATATCAGCCTCGGCTCCCGGACGATATTTTCGTAACCATGGCGGCTTGCACGAAGTAGCATCCTTCTTTCAAAGCGGCTTAAACATGATAGTATATCCTCAAGGTTCTTACGGTTCTCAACCGGGTAGACGGTGGGGCGTTTCAATTGTCAATAGATGAAGAGGGGGAAAGAGGAGTTGTATCCCTAATGTGATGAGAGAGTGGTAATTATTGATCATTGAGGTATCGATGGTCTCATACTTGGAGAGTGACATTGATTGATTATCAATATAGTAACTCAACGACAATCGATGAAACCACCAACCACAAATTAATAACCCTCTCCTTGGAAAGAAGATTATCCAAAGGGATCCATTGAGGCATCAGGGAAGTCTAGATGAGGGGAGCCGTTCTATCAAGCCAGTAAAGTATCTCATAACAAGTATGTTGAGATTTAAAGCGGCATCAATTGTAACTTTCCTCCTGCCACTTTTGCAACATCCACATATCACGCCTTCGGCTCTTTTTCCCGCCACTTTACCACCATCAGCTTTTTTTCTCTATCCCAAATTAGATATATCAAATACTGTTGTCAACTTGTTGAGAAGGAAGGTCTCAAAGCCAAGGTTCTTGAGAACCGCCGTAAGTTACTCTATCTGTCAACTCTGTAAACCGGGTTGTAACCCTTCATCAGTACCGAGTAATGTAGTCGTTCGGATCATTTACTAATTTCACATAGACAACAACACGATAGTATGATCATACTCTATCTATTCTTCAACGATGCCGACAGGCTACATGAAATTGACGGCGATATTACCTATTTATTAACCTGTCTCTGCAAGGATGGGGATGCCATCCGGTTTCCCCATTAGTAATGTAACACAGCGTGCACCGAAATGGGCAATTCGATGTTCTTGGTCTTGTCATCTTCCAAGACTCAAGAGCAAGGTTTCAAGGTCAACAGCAAGGTTGGTGAATTACAACTGAAGCCGGAACAATGGCCGAATTAAACGGTCATCGGTGTCATTCAAAAACGAGTGGTCTTTGCGATAATAAAGATGCTGCCCCGTTCCACCCTTACTAGTATACATATGCTACAATGACAGGCTTCAGAGCAAGCATGTTGAACGCAGGGTTCCTTCCGATGTGAAAGGGAACTCCCTTCTTCTTTGCTTCTCCCGTGAGAAGTTACGCTTGGTCACAATGAATCTAGCAATTGAGAGGCTCAAGCTGCCATGCCAGTGTCCGCATAGGAAGATTCTTTCCTCAACAGATAATCCGAAAGATGGGAGATGGTAAAGCTGCATGCTTCAAACAAAATCATACATACATACCTACATTGATTCGCATTGGCAATGGAACCTCTGACACGGCTTACTTCCAGATTGCATTTTGTTTGCTTACAAGTTACAAACCAACAATCCATGTACCGACATGCGCGAGTCAGGGTTGCAGGTGAGATTCTAGATCCCTTTCATATTAATTGTCTATCCAAAATTGAATGCATTCCATCTCCAGACAACAGACATCATGATAAAAATGTTATCATTTTAATATCGGGAACGAATCGGCAACACACGAGCTGATTTGCAATGAAGCCCCAAGGACATATACTGTTGGATGAATGTTCAAAGGGTGGGGATGCTGTCTCAAAGCTCAAGATGACATCTAGGGTTTTCGAGCTCGTGAGTCGTGACCCAGGAACCTCGTCACACTTCATCTCGATAACACAATCGTGGACGAAGGAGACTGGTGGAACGAGCACCTTGTCAGTCTCGAAGTTAGCCATGTTTCCTCCCAGCCAACATTTTCACATTGTCAATCCGCCTCGAATTTAAAAGAGTCATCGGAGAGATATGAAATCAATTTTGTATCACATTTCCACACGGTGAGAAGGAAATAGTGAGATCTCGAAGTTGGGAGGCCAGTCAGCCAGCCTTCCGCGACCCCGACGCAAGGAACGGTGCGAAAATAGTGCACAGCATGTGATACCGTTACTAGAACTTTTTGTATCTGTAGTCATGTATTTTTACTCATATTGGGTTTCAATCATCAATTATCTGGAGAAACTTATCATGTGCTTTCAACTCTTTGAGACGAGACCAAACGAAGCTTCCCAGCTCACTTGCGTCATCACGCATACATGCGTATCGATATCTAGATCTTGATTCTTAAGGTTTGATTAATTACTGACAGCTTGATCTTTTTGGGGCAATTCTTGCGTAAAATGATGTCGATCTATTTATCTCTAAAGATTTATCTTCATGTACTCTGTATGTACTCTGTATGTATGTATGTATGTATGTACACATCGCAAATCCATGAACCCGCCGATTTGCGGAGGCAGACGATGGAGATCTTTTCATTTCTGTAAGAGCAGTTCTACAACAATCGGTTATGTCTGCTGGTTAATGGAACAATGCGGCTCTCCGAGACAGGTATTTTATGCCATGCTATGATGCGATTTTATGTTGTACAATGAACTGGAAATTGTATGCAGATAGGGAGGAAGGGAAGGGTATGAGACGAGGAAGAGGGATCCAAATTGCACCTTCAGAATTTACTCAATTGGGATGGATCATTCGGACCGCATGTGAAAATTCAATGGCACCAAACCGATAGGAATCCGAAAGATAAATTTCTGGATTCTGGATTCCGATTCATACTGGTATCAGTGTAAAACTCACGAGTCACGTTGTCTTACACTTTCAATTCTTTGTATAGACTATCCAAAATCCATTGGCAATACGTGACCCACGTATACCCATGAACTTCTTTTCACCGCCTCTCGCGAACACGACCCCAGTCACCTTGCTCCGCATCCAATTGGCCCCGTTTTACCTTTTTCCTTCCCCCAGTCTCCGTGCAGCAGCCTGTGAGCAGCCGCTGCGCATGCAGGATGCAAGTGTTATGAAGGCAAGGGCCACCAGAAAATTTCGGCATCAGACCCTGCAGAGTTTTTGTGCGCAGTCTGCTAGTATGGCTATCCCTGTTGGATGAGATGAACGAAGGAAGGAGGGGAAACTTAATACTGCTTGTTGGATGCTTGCTTATCGCGACGGGCGTCATCGAGCATTATCTGGCATGTCTCTGTTTGTGAATCTTTCTTCGTGATTCAGTTAGTAGGCAACTTCAAACTATTCCTAACCTTCTCTCATGAGTTCAAAAGCCCAACAAATAAGGAACAATTCCCCTTAACCCATCACGCAAGACCGAAAAATCCTTATTCATAGTACATACGTACCTACCTACCTTATCCTCTCCTCCAATAACCACACTCCATAAGGCTAGTCCCCTTTTTCACTTTTCTGCACACGCGGAAAACGGTCCGTCTTACACCATTTCCAGCATCCCTGTCCTGTGTCGTTCTTGGCCTGCTTGTCTCCAATCAATTCATCCTACACGATTATGGTCTGTATGTAACGAGAAACGCACAACATCGAGAAGCAGCAAGCCCAAAGATGCGCTAACGCAAGCCCCATGGTGAAAATCCCGAAGCGAGGCTTTCCCAAAGCGTGTCACCGAGTAGGAATTACTGCTTCTTTGGGACTGGGGTGTATTGTTTTGTGGTTTTGGAGTGGCTTTTTGTTTTTTTTCTGTCTGGAGGGAATAAGAAAAGACTAGGGATGATCATGGATGGAAGGCGAGAAGAGCGAAAAAGGCTCGGTCTACGACGTGGTGAATGGTGATTGGGGTAACGTTGTTCAAAGCGAGGACGAGAGCGAGTTTTTTTCATACTCCGTAGACTTAGAGCCTATCCGCGAGTCTAGAGGGGAGGAAAGGTGTGTTCTAATTTCTGTGATCGACACTCGTTGAGGGGGTTTTGGGATGTTGTTCATGTTGTTCATGTTCATATGATAATGAGAAAAGATTGATCTGGGAGGGTAAGGTGGGGGGTGGGACGAAATGAGTAATGAATGTGAGTCTCGAAAAGAGAGGAAGCCACTTGATTTGAGCATCTCGGGAGTCTAATTGAAGTTCGAGATTTTCAATGTTTGGATCTGGATTCTGGAGATGCAAGTTTACAGTGTACTGTACAGTTGTTGTGCATGCATACGGAGTAGGTACTGGATCGTGCAAAAAGCTTAGACTATCACGACGGAGTGTGTATATACGTACGATATTGACATTTGCCCGCCGAAACTATAATGCCGATGCGGTATAGATCAACAACCTAGCTTGATGATGGGACTACGCACTACACTGCGCTGCTGCACCGCGCTGAGCGTATAAATTCTTGGCGAGAATGGGAATCGTAGGACAAAGCTTGAACCCTAGACGCCAGAATTCATCCCTGGAGGGGGAGGGGGTTCCTCATTGTGTATGGTTCATGATTGAATACTGAATAAAAAGTCATTCATAGCTACAGTATGATAAGAATCCACATCCAACATCTAATCATTCAACGAACTATACTATCGCAAGTTATTATTGATCTAGGTCTAGTGGTAAACCATAAAGAGAATTGATTAATTTATTCTTTTCTTTTCAGAAGCAAAAGAGTGCTAACGTTAGCGGGGAACGGAGAAAAGGCCGTTTGATTTTTCTTTTCTTTTTCTCTTGTGTTGGCGATCAGAATGAGGTGGATGGCGTCTCTTAGCGTCTTCTACACCGCCTTTTTGTGGTTGAGAACCTAGAGAGGGCGAATGAGGGGTTCTCGCTCTAGCGACAACGAACCTTGAAAAAACGACTTTTTTTTTCATTGTGCTATCGTTATCGATGACTGATGGATTCCCTGGGGCATCCAATTGATGGCTTTGAATTTGGAATACGACTAGGTCGATTTTTTGTCCCGATAATAACATAACATGGTGACTTGGAAACTTGGAAGAGCTATTTTCTTATCTCACTACTTTAGTCCAGCTACCAGAGATAGTTCTAGTACGGTAATAACAAGACAGCCAAATCTTATGGGGATTGGGAAGGACCTTTTGGATATCGAAGCACCACGCTTGATTGATTGTATGTCAGCTTCTAGAGACCCATGAAGCTAAAGTCTCATGGGGTTGTAGACAAGGGCTGAAGTAAAAACAAAGAAAGAAAGAGACCAGAAATTTTATACAAAAAGTTATGAAAGTACACATATTGAGCCCGAGAATCGGTTGCAAATGAAAAAACCACAAACCCCAACGCTGCTGACACACAGTCGATCAAAACAATCAAAATCAAATATAGCCTTAATGTGGTATCAATATATTGCAATTCCTCAAGACCCAGTACGTGCTTACCCTCGCAGGGTAGTACCCTTCTAACCCCAACAAAACCATTCGGAGATACTCCATATGTAAGGACCAAGAACTTCACATGGGAAGGACGTTGAAGGGAGTGGTACTTGCATCTTACAGTGGTGAAAGGAAATATATGTCCGCGAAAACGGGAGTATCCGTTCCCATGTCATGTCCCTAAAACCTCAAACCAACCCGCGCCATACATACATACCTACCTACATCAGTCCAGACTCGCCATGTCAATCCGTAAATGTTCTCGTGACTCTCACATGGTTGGAAAGATGTGCACATTTTGACCTCTCGGACTCAACCCCCAATTTGGTACAACCCTCGTGTCCCAAAAGATGCAATTCTAGGATTGATGTATATTGCTCGCGCATAATTTTTTAAATGAACTGAGTGTTTTGTATAACCCCAATAGCGGCTCATCCAGGATATGATTACACTATCAACCGGTAGAAAAAGAGTTAACAGGGTGTTGTTGATAGAGGTGATGTTTGCTAATGACCGGAAAACGGCTGTTAAATTCAAAGATGGAAGTACAAAACATGTATGTAAATAAAGAGCAGAC